ATCCGATCGCGAAGAACTTTATATCCCCGGAAAGATGAGGTGAAGATCTTTCCAACGGTGTATTGATTGTCGCGATGCGTTTATGTTTGACGAAGTTACGAAAGTTTGTACACTGGTCTATGCACTGCGATACAGTGCGCGAACTTTTTGCGAGTTAACTCGTACGTAGTGGATCAGGTCATGCATAAAGTGCGAGTTAACTCGTACTCAGCACGCAAAGGGTTAATATATCACCAATCCCTTTCGCCACCTTTGTAGCTGACACATTTGGCGCAAACACAGCACAGCACAGTATATTTGCTGCTCCTTTGTAGAGTGCACATCATTGCAAACCTGATGAGGGCTATATGCCGAAACGTTGTTTAACTACGAAAATGTGTTCGAACGTTGCAGTGTAAATAGAAGGGAGCGAGTCCGCTCCATCTGTAATTCTTTTAGCATAAAAATAGCATAATTCTGCAATTTTTTCAGCAATGCGAAAAGCATAATTTCACGAAAATATTAGCATAATCCGTCAAGGCCTAATGCATGAGCTAGCATATATTAGCACTTTCTCAGCTAAAAAAGCTCAAAAAGGGCGATATTCACCAAAAAAACGCAATAAAGGGCGAAAGAAGAGGGCTTTTCCAAAAAGGGCGAAAAAAAGGGCGAGCACCTTTGGGAAAGGGCAAACCAGCAGTCCAGCACTGACTGTGAGTCACTGTGACGTTGTTGATACACTGACTTCCATTACACTGTAGTTGGTTGACAGCATGTTACAAGGCGGAGGACCACCGTACCGTGTGCGGACACACTGCTCCTTACTACAACCATCCACGGTTGGTAGAGAACACGGTAGTCGTCCGCCTTGTATAGGGCTTGAAAGTGCTACGTCACAGCATAGCAATGGCATGGCAACAATTTGAAAAATTCAAAAACTGGATCCACCTGGATCCAGTTTTTGTATGGATCCAAGCACATCTCAAGCGGTCTTACTCACAGCAAGGTGATGTAGCCAGTGAAACTGACTGATTTGGCTAGTGGGGGCGGGGTGACAACTGGCGGTGAAGTAAAAGTCGCACCTGCATACGACATGAGTGGGTTGCTATGCACCCACATACTGAGGCAATAGCAAAGTCACACATTAGTGGATCCAAAATAGAAATCTGATGTCAACTTACTACTCCCAGGCCGTTTTTGACGTCATCACTTTCAAGCCCTAACACGCTGTCAAGCAACAACATGTTTTCAACAAAACAAATTTTATCCAACTTACGTGTGCAGTATGAACTATTACACTACTAGTATGTGATAGCAATCCACATACTCGTGGCAATGACAATTGCAAATACGTTGCTCCGCTAACTCGGCGAACATCTGGCGACAGCCGACCATTGGTTTCCGCCGTGTAGATTTGGAACACCCTGCCACAGGAACTCACGTCCACTCGTCGTCCAACCCCGTTTGAAAGATTGCTGAAAGTGTTTTTTCTACAGTTAATATGGCCGAATAGTACCTCCCTCTCGCATAGGTCCTCCTCATCTTCCTATTTCTCTCTGATTGTTAATTCGTTCGAACTTGACTTGTAATCACCGGTACACATTCTTCCTATTGACTGTTTTCTCATTTTCTCAAGTGCAGCTTTATCGAGCCACACTTTTTATTCTATCGCCATCATAATATTGGGCATCAATGCCCGTTTGGTTTGCGATGTCAAATAAAACTTCAAACAAAACTTACTAGTACATACACGGTGATGTTCAAAGCTGGGCAATATACTACACGTATAAATCATGCACCAGCATCAGGACATGGGGCTATTACTAGTATTAGTATTATAGCCTTACAGAATTGATACTGGTGGTGGTGGTGGTGGGGGGGGGGGGTAACGCTAGGTTATCAAGGTTTTATAGGCGATTCAGACTACGGCCAACTGTGACCACGTTTCTACGACTCAGACGTGTTTGATCAGCGATCGTGTATAATTATTTGAAACAGGGCTGCATCACCATGGAAATTCAAGTTCAGACGTGATTTTGGCCGTAGTCTGAATCGCCCATTAGTGTGCTGGCTTTCCAACATGAAGAGATTTCATGGACGCGTTCAGTGCATGACAGGTAACGATGAATACCGTGTTGAACAACTGCTCAAAATAGTCTATCAATAGTGTCTCATGGGTTGACAGGTGCAGACATCGATCAGCCGGCTCAACACGTACGTTGCAGTCCCCCAGCTGGAGGCTGGACATCTACCTGTCGACGGAGATGGGAAGGTACGTGAGCGTATAAGGCTCTGCTATTGTGTACTGACTGTAGCTGCACTGACAACCTTATGATTGTGTCAAGTCTCTTCGGTCTGGCGCTCAGCTGTGTTCCGTCAAAGCTGTAGCTGCACTGACAACCTTCTGTCAAGTCTTTTCCGGCTGGCGCTCAGCTGTGTTCCGTCAAAGCTGTATCTTCCGGACAGTGTTCATACCTACCCTGCACGTGTGCATGTACAAGAGCGTAGCATACACGTCAATTCGCCAGTTACTTCAGCGATTTCGACGATCGAAGCACTTCACCATGGTTAATTTAGATTCTGTAAAACAGAGAGGTTCCAGGCTGTCCAAGAGAGTGCTCGACACCGAGAGGCAGAGCTAGTTCAAACAATATGAGGTCGGAAAAAGTGTTTTAACTCTGAGTTTCACGCACTAAGCGATTATCAGAAAACAGTCGAGAACAGTATCAAAAGTAGCGCAGTAGAGTTGTGGGTGTTCACATGGTGCTGTGTAGTATACTGTGTTCACATGGTGCTGTGTAGTATACTGTGTTCACATGGTGCTGTGTAGTATACTGTGTTCACATTGTGGAACGCATGCACTTTGTTTAGACTGTGCTGCATAGCATTTACTCAAAGAACCTTATGGAAAAGTCCATGAGTATCGGGAAAAAGAAGGGAAAAACCCCAACGTAAGGCCTTGCAATACAAACTACAGGCAAGTATTGATCGCATTCACTACAACAAGCAAAGCAGATCGTTATCATAATTATCATTAAACATTGCACGGGTTCGCGTGCAGGGCGGGCCAAGAACCACCTTTTCCGCTTCCGTGGGACACCACTAGGCTCCGGCGGATTATGCTCGCGAAATCATGGAATTATGCTTTCATGGATTCTCGCATTATGCTCGTAAAATCCTCATATTATGCTTTGGCACCCGGGGATATATATTCACTTTTTTGTACTTATGGAGCCTCAAAGTTCGGAAAATTGTGCCTTTTTCGTACTTGCAAGTTGCAAGTGGCCATAAGTACAACAAAATAAATAATTTGTATCCCCATACCAAGATGTCCATGCATGTTAGAGACCAACATGGAAAAGAGAAAACATTACTTCTTCTATTCATGGTGAAAAAGGAGGACAAGATGTTACGAGTTATGACCAACTGTCCACCAACGTAACCAGATCTTAAAACAGTTAATAGCGAGTGCGACAAAATGGCACAAAACTAACAAGGAGTACTGAGACATTCGGCGGCCTGACACCTAGCTCACCATCCGAATTCTTCTATTCATTACTTGATTTCTTTTGTACTTCGGTAAAAATATTATTTCATTGCCAAAGTAGTTTGAGTTACCTTTGAAAATTATCATGTTCAACCGTCTTCGTAACATCATACTCGTCCAACCGATGTCACCCTCACCCTGCGAATAATCAGCTCATCTCTCCCGTAGCTCCACCTCTCCTTCCATCATGACCGAATATCAACTATATATCAATTTAGAGCAATATCCATAGCCTGCAGTCATATCATGACTGCTAAAATCCAGAGGTCATGACTTCGTAACATGCATAATGTACAAAATGTAATGTACATGTGCATGTATACGGAGTTTTGCGGACTACCCGCCACTATCTCGTCCGCCCTGGGATACCTGATGAAGGCTGATTCACTCGCATCTTCTGCTACATGTACTGTGTCAGTGTGAGAAAGAACTTTGAAGAAGACGAGTTCGAGCATACAATACTGTATTGCCAAGATTTCTACCCTGCCTTTCATTGAAACACTATCTGCATGACCTCCGAACCCTTTGCCATGCAAACCACCAGCACTGATCAGGTGCATTGTACACAATTGTATAGCCTACATACTAGAACTGTGGTATAATCGTGTAGTTATGCTCCTACCTCCGAGAGTATGCCAAATTATGTTCCAAATTTTCAACCACCAAATTATGCCAATAATTATGCCGGCATAATCCGCCGGTGCCTAGACACCACCACCCCATAATCAGGCGTCAGATGCGGCTCCTAAACGGTGGGGGGATTGATTAGACCCACCAAGCAGAGGCCAAAGGCGAAATCCTATTTGTCACATCCATGCTCTCCTCGTATCAGGCCACATTTGGTTTACCTTCCAATGCACTGTGGGTCACAGCACGCCGGGCTGGAATAAATCCTTCCGCTTCCAAGCAGGACTTGAACGGCATAGCGGAAATAAATGCTGGATAAGAGTATACAGCATTCCGTTGTTTTGTATAGTATGTCGATATTGAACCAAAGCCTCGAAGGCCCATCTACAAAGTCCGTAGACGGCACTCATCCAAGAATGCCAATGCTCATTATCGCCTGGCAGCCAAGGAAACAGGTGAACGATCACCTGAATAATATACCAGTCCTAGTGGTAGTATTCTGTAGACATTATGCTGTTAGGTGTTTCCATCCTGGATGCTCTGCACCTACCGGTAGCTGGAAGTTTTGAAAACGCTTTTTCAGATTCCGCCCACTAAATTCTCTCGGTTTAGCTCGTGTTTTCGACAGGACCTGTTAGTAAACGCGAGTTTATTGACAAGTGTCGTGTGCGTGGAACACACCAGTTACTGCCAAGAGTGTATAATCCCCCAGTGGCAGTGGGTTATAATATTCTTGGCAGTACAGGTACATGCATGTCAACATGTAGTAGCGGTAGTAGCGGTAGAGATTCTATGGGCAGTTCAGTGTATGGATTATCGCGCCCGGCATCAGGGAGCTTTATGGCATCTTACTAGCTATGTTGATTATTATTACTATGCACCTGATGTTGGGTTTGTAAAGGCGGGGAACAATACAGCCAGGCCAAAACGCGATGGGATGACTTCGAGCGTCAGTTACAGTGAAGTATTGATTCGAACGTCGCTGTAACCTGCTGGGTCTATTTCACTCTTACGCTTATGCGAGTGGCATAAGCCAAGGAATAAGGAAGGGGCAACCACGTCGTTCCGTGCTTCACTCGGATTACCCTTGGTCGTAGATGAACTTAGCATCGTATTCTTGTGGAGACCTCCCAAGCTCTTGTCTATGGCTGGCCAAGAAAGTCGCGATTGGTCTGTGCCTTGTACCGTGCAGCTGCGTCGTACAGTGATGCACCACCGCGTGGCAGGACTGCTGTTGCTCGTGATATTAACTCAAAGCGGAACAACTGCAGGTAGGTGCGTGCATGTATTGGTATCAATAATTATGATTAGTGTTACTTCGAAGTACATGTACCACCATTGCATCGTACGCATTAATCTCCGTGCATACGCGTCTCTCAGCTGTTCCGCGGGATAACTAGTCAGCATATCTGCATGGCATGGATGCAGGACAATGGGACCACGACATGGACTGGAGCACAGCCGCAGGGCCCAGGGTAAACTGGCGCTGCCCACCTACGCGTACCTGTCCCTTTACGACGTGACGTATATGCACATGTACGTGTACGTGCACGGTACATGTTTTCATTTTTAACGTGATATCCCTAGTAAAGTCCAGGTTGCCCCTAACTCCGCGTCAGGATGTCCACCAATGATAATAATTAATCAGTATTCTTATGATTGGCACAGTAACACACTGCAATACAGCTTCCTCTGTCTCTCTCTCTGTCTCTCTGTCTCTCTCTCTCTCTCTCTGTCTCTCTCTCTCTCTCTCTGTCTCTCTCTCTCTCTCTCTCTCTCTCTCTCTCTCTCTCTCTCTCTCTCTCTCTCTCTCTCTCTCTCTCTCTCTCTCTCTCTCTCTCTCTCTCTATTGTATTGGAGAGCACTATACTTATGTAGCACAAAGAGTAAATCATGACCACGAACGACGGGTTTTGTTTTCACTGCCCGCCCACTTACAGTACATGTTGTAATACATGTACCAAGTACATGTATTACAACATCACACAGCAATGATGCAACCAAGTCCTTTTCTTCCGTTGCTCGAGAGGTTCACGTTCACATTCATCAGACAGCATGATATGACCGAGACTGGCATTTACTAGACTACTTATACGGAGGTGTCTTGAGAAAAGAGAGCAGAGGTTATGGAGGTACAAAATTTCGCGAGGACAAAAAGGTGGCAAAAATCACCTTCATTAATTAAAAGAGAAAACGATGTTATTACATGTACATGACATTGTAATGTCACGTACATGTACATGTACATGTACATGTACGTGACATACAATGTCATTTACATGTACAATGTACAATGTCATTAGCAAGGGTTTTACCCGGTGGACTTTAAAAAAGGTACACCGTTATAGAGTATGGGATAGAGGTATAGTGCCATGCTATACATGTACAATGTCATGACGTACATGACGTACATGTACATGTACCGCTACATGACATTGTATACATGTAGCCAACAATGTAGCCCACACCTTAGTGCGCTATTACTAGCTGGCACTAGGCCTCGACCAAATATGAAAAAAGAGCAGATTATGCTCGTCGCATATCAGGGAAAACGTCCATAATATGCCAAAGGCTTAGCAAGATATGCCAAAATATGCCAAAATATGCTCGACATAAGCAGAAAGTGTAGATCGTTTCAGTAAAATTACAACCTTGGAATATTCATTGGCTTCACGGCTATCATGCTTATGGTGCAAATCAAAACACATGCGGAATAGTATGGCTGGGGTGTGTCCCCAGCAACTGTAGCGATAGTGTTCATCCATGGGGAAATGTAGCAAACGCCTCAACCATTCCAAATTCATCCATAAAAGGCATTTCTGAACGCATTTTGTCCATAATATGAATGTTTTGTCCTCATTTTCTTCAGAATATTAAATGCTGGCTTCATTCCAATATTCCCAAAGCAGTAGAGATTTGTGCTGCATTATGACACATGTGTCCAAGGATGGTGAAACAAAAAATGGTGATTGGGATTGAGCGTAGTAGGAATGACTCACGCCAGGCAAGGAGATGACTACCACACCCGCCAAAGCATCGACAAACCGGCGACAGAAACCAAGATCCGCCAAGCGCGTGAGCCATGAGCCTTGAACCGTTCTCATATCTCCCGCGCCCCGCGGAACCCAGCTCCGATCGTCGCTCCCCTGACCCCTGGCGGGAAAAATAGCCACCTCCCCTCCCCCCCCCCCCCTCTAGCCTGGCTTGGTTCATGTACATGTACATAACATGTATAGCAGCCCAAAACAAAAACAAAAAAACATAGTAGAATTTTCGATATTCGGCGAGGAGACAACAATTTTAATATCGCAACAAGGAGGACCAACTGAAGTGACATTGAATTATTAATTCAACAATGTCAAGCGATGGAGACGATGCGAAAACAATTTAAAAGGAGGAGTACCTGTACATGTAAGAAGAAAAAGCGATGGAAAAGGGTTGATGTCTTTTAAAACGCGTGATACGCTTTGTTCCTGCGGACATACATGTTTTTTTTCGATATCACTTGGACAAACACCATTATCCAGACGCCGTCTAAGGAACACTTCGTTCAACGCGATACTACGACAGTTAAATCGTGACTTCAGCACATGGTCCAGGATATCTATCTGAGCCTGGCTATATATATCTCGACCTGAAGCATTTTTTAAATATTCCCCGAGGAGACATTCCTTAGTCCTTTTTCCTTTTTATAAATAATCCTTGGCTCTCCATCCGAGTTTATTCGGCGAGGAGACAACAATTTTATAACGAATAAGTTGTTAGGAAACAAGGTTTCAGAGCAGATTCGCTCTCTTCCCATTCACTCTGCAAACTCATACTCGTTTCTCAATCAGTTATTACAACGTTTCGGCAAAATTGCCCTCATCAGGTTGCAAGTTTGCAAAGGAGCTGTTATATATGCATTTTGTGATGCTATGATGTGCTACATCGCACCCACCGTGACGTGCCAGAATCCTAAAGATAATGATATTAAAGAAGTGTGGTACCAACAATAATTATTCAAAGATGACAATGTGGTGATTAATTCACGCAAAGCCCGAAGTGCTTTCACACAGACACCCACGCACATCCACACACCCATGCACACACACACACACACACACACACACACACACACACACACACACACACACAGCCGAAACGTAATAATAAATAATTGATTGAGAAACGAGTTCGAGTTTGCAGAGTGAATGGGAAGAGAGTAGGGGTGAAAGGATTATGTGGTTTAGTCGATAAATTAGTCGAAAAAATCTAGTCGATTACGATTTTTCTAATCGCTATAGCATTTTCGTACGACATACTATACGGTACGACGAAATATCCGGCATGTGCAGTGTGTCTACATGACTTTACTGCGTGCAGCACATGTACCGGAGTACGATGGGTACGAGTGGATGCGCGCGTGCACGGAGGTGTCAATCAACGCGTGCAGCGCGCACAGCGAGTTGCTCATGCCCTGGATACACACTACACGCGTACCCGGTAGATCTACCTGATGTACTCTCTAGATCTATTGTATGACACGCGGCTCTTTTCTCTGCACCATGCACTGATTCGTACCCGCGAACTTTCGTTCCGGTTGCTTCACGGAACTCACTGTTCTGGACAAGTAGCCTTCAGAATCAGTTTGTGCCTGTGCGACGGTCGATGTTTCCATTATTTTTGTTCTCTTTGAAGTTCCAAAATTGATTGTAGTTGATGCAAAATGGTGAGTTTTTTCGTCAGTGGTGCTTAATCGATAATAATCGATAAGTAATCGATAAGTTTTGGATTAACCGTTAAGGAATATCCCTTAATCGTTTCACCCCTAGAAGAGAGCAAGTCTGCTCTGAAACCTTTTTTCCTTTGAATGAAACGGCAGGAAGCCTCACCACTGCTACTAAACAATTTATATTTTTTATTAAAGTCAAATATGTCCCGAGCTCTTTTTTGGCTGATTCCAACAAACCTTTTCAAACAAAAATTCAAGGGCCAACGGTGTTTCCTCATTTCCCGAAGACCCACGCAGGAGCGGATTTGTACCACCTCTCAGTTGCCATAGAATAACCATATCCATTGCCAAGTCAAATTGTGTAGGGTGCGGCGGATAATGCCGGCATTATATTCGGCATTATACGACTATCCGAGCGTCAGAGCATTATGGAGCATTAGAAAGGAACAAAACGAGCATTATGTGAGGTTTGAGCGGCATAACGAGTTTCATAGTGGATAATATCGGGAAAAAGACCAGGCAGGCACAGTGGGTTGGTCAAAGACCATGATTGAGATACGAGAGGTACCTGGTTCAAGTCCTGCCTGGGAGCGGTTTTTCCAGGCGTGCTGCTACCCACAGTCAACTGGGAACTTGTGGCCAGGCACAAGGGGTACATGGATGCAGCTAATGGGGTCATTTTCGGCACTTGTGCCAGTGGTTGTGAGACTTATCCACTCACCCCACCGTTAGGCGCTGCATCTGCCGCTAGGGTTTATCGGGTGTTAGCGGCCGTCGTGAGTTCCCTTCGGGAACGGACACGATCATTAAAATTTTACTTTACTTTAATATGGGGAAATCCCAGGTTTTTGGCAATAATCGGCTGAATCATGAGGTGCAACCAGACCTTGTGCATGGTACACCTTTAGCAGTAATATTGTACATAATTTACATGTACATTTACCTGGCCACATACAGACTACAGTGTAATCAGTCATTGCTACATAAAAAACGTTATGTAGCGATGTGGTCAGGTAAATCATGTATAAAAGCCATTTATGAAGCATTCCCAACCGAGGCAAATCCGAAGAAATGATTTACCGGTACGAAGTTTCTTTTAGAATAATGGAGAGCTATGGTTGTATGGAGGAGACATACGCGAAGTGAATAGCAAGCAGACGAAGAAGAGTTTTCTCGTTGTGCCATAGGCTCTGGCGATAGCATCTCTAGCGATACTGAAGTAGACATTGATGCATTGATAAATTTGGACCAGGATGAAGGAGCGGCTATAGAGAGAAAGAGCTCGCTCCAAACGAACTGCCTATGCCGAGTCCAGCTGAGAACCTAGGAGGCTCGAAAAGAACTAGAATTTCTCATGGACTCCGTACCAAGTCGATTGGAGCGCTCAGCAGCGCGTGTCTTGCTTTCCTGATGAAGCACGTGCAGTTAGTTATGGACGGTTGTAATGCCAGGCCTACAGTCAAATGCTATCAGAAAGGAAGAGTACATGTATTGTGACAAACCATACCTCTACACTGTAACACACCGGCGTCTCAAGGAGAAGATGAGAACACGAGCAAAGGATGTAGAGTGGCAAAATAACTTCTGACAACGTGTTTTCAGGATTTCCGCAAATGGGAGGGATCTCGATCTGAGATCGGCTCTCAGGAGCTGGCCTCCCGTCTGGTGTTTCAGATGAAGACACTATTTGCAGAGTGGAAGCAGTGACAGCTTGTCAGCAGGCATGAATACTATTTGCCAAGATAAACTTCATCCTAGCAATGAATTACTACCTGCAAAAATGGTTTCATCTCTCAGGGAAGATTTGATACACCGACTATTCTGCCACAAGCCTGCATCAAAGTTGGAATGGAGAGCAGCCGCTGGAGAAGCAATCATGTTTTATAGTGATAAGATGTGGTGGAGCTCATGGGAGATAATGTGCCAGCTTCAGAGGCAGACCGACGATATGCATAATTTCCTGGAAGTTTGACAATGTGCAGACTTTCTTCCATTTTTGTCCCAAACCAAGAGCATTTTATCCCTTACTGAAGCATTATAATCAACATTATAAGGCAGTTTTTGGAGTATTATGGTTAGCATTATGTGAACATTTTCGGAGCATTATCCGCTGGACCCTAGTGTATCACTTTGCGCCGATAGATTATGGTGAGGACACTCCAGGCGGAGAGAGTAGCGACGCAACAAAGAGGAGCAATCAGAGGTAACTGACGATGTTGATGTTGACGAAGACACCTAATGCCTGAGAAGATCGGAGACCTTGAAAGCACCCTCCTCTCCAAGAAAATTCTTACGAAAAATCCTTTCGGCAAAAGTTGGCTTTCTCAGAATGAGCACATTATGCCAAATCTTCGAGTGCATTTTTCGATCTCGCTCTCGCGTGCCGAAATTCGGAGCAAAACCTCTTTATTAGAGACGTGTTGTAGAGTGAAAATTCACAAGGATTTCACGTCTGAACTTGCGAATAGGCTGCGAATGCTCGAACGAACTAAGCGTGTGTTTTGCATGATTTTCGCTCCAAGAAACTACGAATTGATTTGTCGCGAGTGGCACTGGCGGCGCTCTGAGTCGAAAGCTGTTTGACTTTGTTGTACAAGTCATGTACATGGCCGAAGACACACAGACAAACATGTTGGCCTGTGCCGTAATCCGTCTCACCAACGCCTCCAAATCAACAAAAGCATCACTGCTGTAACCAAAAGATGAGCCGGCAGGCGAACGGAGATGGTTCCGGAGATGAAGCAACACGGGCTGCCAATATGGGAAATCTAGCACCAGCGTACGAAGCCAGGAGTAAATCTACTGAAATGTGACAGAAGAACCACAAAACATTGCATGAGGTTGGTTCACCACTGATCCACGATCAGCGAAAATTACTGCGAAGGTTTGTTTCGCGTTTCCTTTTAAGCCTTTTTCGCGTTCAAAGCTGCGAACGTTCGCACGAAGTTTCCCTTTTCATGACGTCAAACGAACATCGTGCGAAATTTCGCTCTGCAAAACCTTTCTTTTGATGTTTCTTCATGACTGTATCATTATGTTGTTACTGATACAGGCTGGCAGAACTGTTCTGGCAGTGGTTATGAGTACAAGTACATTGCGGGAGTCAGTAAAACGTTCAATGACACCGTCAGCTACTGCAGAACTCTATCAACTAACAGTGGCATAGCAACACCACGCAATGCTATCCAGAACCAGTGTATACTCAACAGCAGACCCAGTGCCACCACAATCTGGATTGGCATTCGTTCGTTTACCTACCCATTCCAGTGGATCACAGTTGGCGATGGCTTTAGCCTGACGTACACAAACTGGCACAGCGGCCAGCCTGACGGCATTATGCCAGAGTGTGCTACCATGTGGTATCGTTACCCTCCACCGTACCCAGCTGACAAATGGGACAATATTGAATGTAATAAATTAAGCAACATAATTTGTGAACAAGGTCAGTTATTTAAAAGTGTATTCAAATCATCAGTATAAGTTAGCAATTTAAAATGATATTTCCGTTCTTATTTTCGTCTCTTCTTCTATCCTGAATGCTCTTTCACCCCCACCCTCGCATCTCTCTCTCTCTCACTCTCTCTCTCTCTCTTTCAATCTATCTATCTATCTATCTCTAACTCTCTCTTTCTCTCTCTCTATCTCTCTCTGTCTGTCTATCTCTCTGTCTGTCTGTCTGTCTGTCTGTCTGTCTCTCTCTCTTTCTCTCTGTCTGTCTCTCTGTGTCTCTCTCTCTCTCTCTCTCTCTCTCTCTCTCTCTCTCTCTCTCTCTCTCTCTCTCTCTCTCTCTCTCTCTCTCTCTCTCTCTCTCTCTCTCTCTCAATCTCATCAAGTTTCTACAGTACGTAGTTCTGGCAATGAAGCCCAGACGGTCTGTCGGCTGAGCTTAGTCTGTCCCACTGGCACAGCCACATTTCGTAGCCCAATTACTGTTCCTGCTTCTCTTTTCTTTTTCTTTCAAAACTCATAGGAAGGGTTGTGTTTGAAATACAAAAAAATAACAATATATTTATAGCCCGCATGACGCAACGCTCACACACAATACATGTACATTTTATTATACAAACCACGTGACCATCATCCTCGTCTGCGGGAGGGAGGGGGGGGGGGGCAGCGGCAACAACAATAAACAAAACAAGAGGAAAAAGAATTCTGCAGCTAGCGCACATATTGCCCACACCTCAGTATTCACGAGTTGCAAAATCAATATTACTTCATCAGTTCAATAGAAAAGAGACAAAAAGGAACAATATGTTGCTCTCTTTGCTTGCCTTCGCATCAGCTAGCGAGACAGGAGGCATAATAATAATAAAATAATTATACATGTAGGTTGGACCTCTGTCGTGACTGAAGCTGAGTGGTCGAAACTGCGGAGTTGGGTTTTGTCTTTGTAACTAAACTATTACCCTTGTAGCGGCTAATGTAGTCTAAACTCTCCACAACAAGTGATCTACTCTTGATCGAGGCTTTTTTGTTCAAATAGCTGCTCAGCATACATGTACATGTATGCGTTCAACAGTTGTTGTTTTTCTCCTTTTCTCCCTTCCAAGATTTGAATGAATGTGTACGCAAAGTGCACAGTTGTTCCAGTAGAACAGAGTGTGTTAACACTATCGGCAGCTATAGATGTATAGCTGTAGCCACGACATTGCCCAACATCACTAACACATCCACTGTTGTGTATTCCACATCGTTGGTGTTAGCTACCAGCCCAACCACCACCCCAACCATCACACCAACCACCACACCAAAAACCGCACCAACCACCACCCCAACCACCACACCAACCACCACACAAACCACCACGCCAACTACCACGCCAACCACCACACCAACCACCACACCAACCACCACACCAACCACCACCCCAACCGCCACACCAACCACCACACCAACCACCACACCAACCACCACACCAACCACCACACCAACCAGCACCCCAACCACCAGCCCAACCACCACCCCAACCACCACGCCAACCACCACATCAACCACCACACACGCCGCTACTCTGCCTTCAATCACAGCAACAACTGTTGTTCCAGCCACTTCACCCTCCACGCTACCGCTTACTACCTGGCTAGACGCGTCATCAGTGACTGTTACCATGGCAACAACCGGTACTACTCTCTACCAGTCCACCACTGATGACCAGCTAACAGGTACTAGTATGTTTGTCTAAGGGCCAGGCCACTGTGGCAGTGCTAACAAGTTTCACGTTTTTTACACAGTGCAAGTGCTTTTAAGGTGGCAGACTACCCAAAAATTCGCTGAAAATCGAATTTTTAAATTCATATTGAGTAGTACGTCAGTTGAAAGAGCATGAATAGCTGCAAATTCTCTGAAAATTGTGTCCCGATCTGACCAGCCGTTCAAGAGTTATGGCCGAAAATGTGCCCTTGCAAGGAAAGATTTTTTTGTTGCACGCTGTCATTTGTTGGCAGCACTGTATTTGAATCTGAGCAGACCGTGCGCAACTTGTCGTATCATGGAAACACGCGAAAGTGTGCAGAATTTTGCTCCAAGTCCGAAAAGTCCAAAAAATCAGGTTAAAAAACCACGTATTGGGCTGCACGGCGGCGGGCAAAGCCTGCCGCATTGCAGCAGGACTTTCGCCAGCACCCTCGTGACGTTGCAGATATGTGGCTTGATTATTGTAGTTGATGTTGATTTAGTGACTTTGGCAAGTTTGAGTCGTGTCAAGAAGTCAGGTAGGATTCAGTTAGTACTAGGCAGTAGTGCCAGTGGAACGTGAGTGGTAGTCTTTGCCGGTTTCTGAGGGTATCCTGGAATTGGTGTGCAGAGCTGTGAAAATGGCTTGCTGTGGACGTCCCAGCACTGGATGTTGTATCAAAGGTACGACCTCGTAGCACGTGCTAAACCTAAAAAAGTTCAAAAATTGACTTGGGTCTGTGGGAGTCTGTGAGAGAACGCCCACTCGTTCCGTGGTGACAGATTGCAGGGCCATGTTGAGGGGCCCTACCCTACCATCCATGGCTGCTTCTGGACTTGTTTTAGGTTTGGGTCCCGCGCACGGACAGAATTGGCTAGAAAATGTGAAAAATTGTAAATGCATTTGTTTGGCTCCTGGGTGGCTCGCACACCTGGGCAACCGACTGCCTCTAGCCTCCTCCGGGATTATGCTCCTGCTTCGCCCACCCCAAGCCTAATTGTCGCCAATCCTGAGTAGCCAATCTCCACTGCTACCCTATTGCACCCTTCATTCGACACTCTCCTTTCACTCCTATTATCTGTTTGATTATTCGCTATTTTCTGCTGTGTTCCAAAATTAGATCCTCTCCTTCAGTCTACATCTTCCATTTTCTCCCGTGCTTTTTTCCCCTCATGCTTATGCTTCCGTCCCGAATGTGGTGCGCCTGCCATGTAAAGATGCCGAGACCTCTGGTCGGTTGAGCATGGCAAGCCCCGCCAGCACCATCTCGCCCCATGTGCCTGCCAGTGAGTTGTGTATTTTGTAAAAAAATAAAAAATAAAATAAATAAAAAATATACACAGTGGCACAATGCCGGAAATTTGAGTTTTTCCGGCCTGGAAAGCCTGCCAGTGAGGCGCAAGAACTTGTAAATCATGGCGTGAGGGCCAGCATAGTGGCAGGAGTGTGTGGTCAAAATTTCACTCAAATCCATTGAGAAACACCAACGTTACGGTCAATGGAATGCCATATGAAATTTATGGGTAGGCTGTAGCAGCCTGGTCCTAAATTTCATATGGCATTCAATTGACCGTAACTTTGGTGTCTCTCAATGGATTTGAGTGAAATCTGTACTACACACCCCTGCCACTATGCTGTTTTTTTTACAAGTTCTTGCGCCTCAGTGACAGGCTTTACAGGCCGGAAAAACTCAAAATTCCGCCGTAGTGCCACGGTGTGCGAGCCACCCAGGAGCCAAACAAATACGTTTACAATTTTTTCACATTTTCTAGCTAATTCTGTCCGTGCGCAGGATCCAAACCTAAAAAACATCCAGAAGCAGCCATGGGTGGTGGGATAGGGCCCTTCAACGTGGCCCTGGAATCTGTCACAACGGCAGGAGTGGGCGTTCTGTCACAGACTCCCACAGACCCAAGTCAATTTTCGATTTTTTTTAGGTTCAGGGCGTGCTACGAGGTCATACCTTTGATACAACATCCAGTGCTCGGACCTCCACAGCAAGCCATTTCAACAGCGCTTCAAACCGAATCCAGGATACTATCCAAAATCGGCAAAGACTACCACTCACGTTCCACTACTGCCTAGTACTGAATCCTACCTGACTTCTTGACACGACTCAAACTTGCCAAAGTCACTAAATCAACGTCAACTACAATAATCAAGCCACATATCTGCAACGTCACGAGGGTGCTGGCAGAAGTCCTGCTGCACGGCGGCGGGCTTCGCCCGCCACCGTGCAGCCCAATACGTGGTTTTTAACGTGATTTTTTGGACTTTTTTGGACTTGGAGCAAAATTCTGCACACTTCCGTGTGTTTCCATGATACGACAAGTTGCGCACGGTCTGCTCACATTCAAATACAGTGCTGCCAACAAATGACAGCGTGCAACAAAAAAATCTTTCCTAGCAAGGGCACATTTTCGGCCATAACTCTTGAACGGCTCGTCAGATCGAGACAAAATGTTCAGAGATTTTGCAGCTGTTCATGCTCTTTCAACTGATGTAGCACTTGATATGAATTTACAAATTCGATTTTTCAGGGATTTTTGGACCAGGCTGCCACCTTAAGGTAGCAGCCTGGTCCTAAATTTCACATGGCATTCAATTGATCGTAACTTTGGTGTCTCTCAATGGGTTTGAGTGACATTTGCACCACACACTCCTGCCACTATGCTGGCCCTCTGGATATGATTGAAAAGTTTATGCGTCTCACTGACAGGCTTAAAAAATGCCAGATGGTAAGAAAAGCCAAATCACCTCGTACATGATTGTACTCCTGAATCCTTCATTTTACTGCAGTAATAATAATAATAATTATTATTGTTGTAGCCTACACTCGAGAGAGCGGTACTCAAGCATCCATGATAGAGAACGAATTACTATTTTTATTGAGCATGGCCGATTGCAAAATCGAAGTGCAAGAAACTGTTACCTTGAGAACCGTATCCATTTTACCTTCTTTCCTCACTTTCCCAGAGCTCCCGAAATGCCCAGCCGAAACAGAGACCTTGGGCAACAAAGGCAAGCTACAGTGGACGGATACGCTTGCCCAATCGATAGCCTATGCGCCGTGCGAGGCGAACTGCGGCAAGGCAGTGCGATGGTGCCTGCCTGTGTGGAGGACGAACACTGCAAAGTGGTCTTCGACGAATGCTTCGGAATGTTCTGTCATCGCGCATACCCGCCAAGAGCCACAAGTACAAGGAGCAATCGATAATATCACGGTAAGAACTCTCAATCAATCCTGTAAGGCTGTGCAATGCCCGTCTGTCAAATGCACACAGTGGACCCACGCCCAGCAAGTTTCTCCATCGTGGTCTACAGTGAATCAGCGTGTCGTATGACAATCCTGATACTGTATAAGTACAAATTTTCGTTTGGATTTTACTTTCGCTATTTTCGTTAGGGGGCAGGAAATATCAAGTTTGGACGAAACTAAAGTTGCTTTTTCTGAACGTTCGGGGTGACAGACGTCGACCAAAAACAAAATTTTGGTACGTAACAAGCCTGCTCGTGGAGTGATCTAATGGGCCATTCACACTACGCCCAAAACGTGACGTACGTGATGTTTTCGTCCGGATAGCCATGACAACATGGAACGTGGCGGGAAAATTGTACTCCTGATACGAAAACGTAGATGACATATCCAGACCCCTGTGCCGAGTTTCGTTCTGTCGTTCCCAGCAGTTTGTGTCCGAAAGAAGCTGTACACACAGCTGTACGAGCAGCATGTGCGTGTCTGTGTGAATGCACATGCATGAAAACGACGTCTGCCAGTACGTCGTATACCAAAACGTGACGCGTATTGTAACGTAGGATGAATAGCCTGTAACGAAAGATTTCGTGAACGAAAATTTGTATTTATACAGTGCCTAAAGTTTGTACGAAACTAAAGGATTTTTTCTGAATGTTCGCATACTTGCTAACCCAGCCAAAGCAAATCCCTTAGTCACACACCCAGTTTCCCTTAAGGTACTGTAAAAGCAGAAATTTTCGGTGGTGTTTTATTTTCGGTAACTTCGGTGCCGACAAGTTTTACCGAAAATAAAACGCACCGAAATTTTCGGTACAACCGATAATACATGTAGTACTAGTACACTTGTAGCGACCTCACTCCCTGAGTATTACGTCATTCTACATACGCATGCGCAAGAAATAAAATCATTCTCTTTGGTCACAACTTCTTCGTTGTCCGGTTGGCCAAAGTAGCCGTCGTCTAGGGCCCGACGTAAAACCCTAAATTGGTGACCCCTGACGCTGCGCTCTTCGGAGTTTTGAGCATGCCATCCCTGAGCTCGGCCCGCCGCAGTTTCCTGCTCGCCTCAACTCTCGGGACCCCGTCAATCGCCGGCTGTTGACGTAAAACTCGAGCCTCACCACCACTCGTCACTGGATCCGCCTCGGAGCTGCTGTGGCCCCTGCCACCCTCCCGGCCCACCTGGATACCCCGCTATCCTGCCACGGCACATCGTCCAGTCGTCTTCGTCCTGGCCTCAAGCTGGAAATTGGCCACCTCCACCCGTCGTACCAGCTCACTCACTGTGCATGCACGCAGGCACACGCCCGGCACCGGACCCCATGGAGCTGCGCTCGCCTCCATCTGTCCCCGCCTCACTCGGCACGCCTCGCCCCAGTGCAGCGCTCCTGCTGGTATCCCGCCAAGCCTGCAACATGCAGCCGCCTCTGACATGATAATACTCCTCTGTCACGCGTACATTTCCTTTCTTTCCGCCTCTGACACGATAACACTCCTCTGTCACGCGTACATTTCCTCTTTTCTTTCTTTCTGCCTCTGACATGCTCTCCACCTCTGTCACGTTAACACACCTCTGACATGTTAACCCGCCTCTGTCATGCATCTCTCTCTTTCCTGCTTTTCTGATTTTTGTTTCGGCATTTGTGCCACGTTGTTTGACAAATTTCACGCACGCAGCGCTCTCGCCTGTACATATGTATCATATTATTATATTTTTGCCTTTCCGCCTTGTACATGCTGCGCTTTCCTTTCTTCTCTTTCTTGTTTATCGTGCTTCGCTCCTCCCGACCTCACCACTGGCGGGGGAGTACTGTAGCGACCTCACTCCCTGAGTATTACGTCATTCTACATACGCATGCGCAAGAAATAAAATCATTCTCTTTGGTCACAACTTCTTCGTTGTCCGGTTGGCCAAAGTAGCCGTCGTCTAGGGCCCGACGTAAAACCCTAAACACTTACCTGGAGAACGGGTTTTACCGAAAATTTCCCTCTACCGAACCGCCGATTTTGGCGAATACCGAAAATATTACACCACCGAAAATTTCTGCTTTTACAGTAGCAGGCTGGTCCTAAATTTCATATGGCATTCAATTGACCGTAATTTTGGTGTCTCTCAATGGATTTGAGTGAAATATGCACTACACAATCCTGCCACTATGCTGGCCCTCTGGACATGATTTAAAAGTTCTTGCGCCTCACTGACAGGCTTTACAGGCCGGAAAAACTCAAAATTCCGCCATAGTGCCACGGTTGGCGAACCACCCAGGAGCCAAACAAATACATTTACAATTTTTTCACATTTTCGAGCCAATTCTGTCCGTGCGCAGGATCCAAACCTAAAAAACGTCCAGAAGCAGCCATGGGTGGTGGGAAAGGGCCCTTCAACGTGGCCCTGGAATCTGTCACAGACTCCCACAGACCCAAGTCAATTTTTGAATTTTTTTAGGTTCAGGGCGTGCTATGACGTCGTACCTTTGATACAACATCCAGTGCTGAGACCTCCACAGCAAGCCATTTCCACAGCGCTTCGAACCGAATCCAGGATACCCTCCAAAATCGGCTAAGACTACCACTCACGTTCCACTACTGCCTAGTACTGAATCCTACCTGACTTCTTGACACGACTCAAACTTGCCAAAGTCACTAAATCAACGTCAACTACAATCGTCAAGCCACATATCTGCAACGTCACGAGGGTGCTGGCAGAAGTCGATGCAGCCCAATACGTGGTTTTTTAACGTGATTTTTTGGACTTTTCTGGACTTAGAGCAAAATTCTGCACACTTTTGCGTGTTCCAATAATACAACAAGTTGCGCACGGTCTGCTCACATTCAAATACAGTGCTGCCAACAAATGACAGTGTGCAACAAAAAAGTCTTTCCCTGCAAGGGCACATTTTCGGCCATAACTCTTGATCGGGACACAATTCTCAGAGAATTTGCAGCTATTCATGCTCTTTCAACGGACGTAGCACTCAATATGAATGAGGGCCAGCATAGTGGCAGGAGTGTGTGGTCAAAATTTCACTCAAATCCATTGAGAAACACCAAAGTTACGGTCAATTGAATGCCATATGAAATTTATGGGTAGGCTGCCCCCTTAATTTTCTCCCATTTCCCCTATTTCGCTGGTTTCGCCGTTTTCGGCTATTTTCTCTTTTTTCAAGTGGGCAATTTTGGAGTAGAGGTTGGTGCAACTTCGGTGATAGTAGGGGAAGAGTATGTTGCTCCCTACATAGGAGCTCGCGGTTTTCCTGCCGCCTTGAATTCTCACTTGACTGACTAATAACAAGGAGAGCCTCATAGTCAGTCGCCACAGAGAAGCCGAACATACCGACATAGAAAACATATGTATAGCCCTACGCACCACACGCAAAGATCGGGTGCTTTTAAACTGCATGTATCGCCTACCTTCTGCAACGGCGGACTTCTGGAGAGCCTTCGAGGACACCATAGAGAGCATGACCTGTCAAGTGGAGGATAGATTCATTGTCATGGGCAACTTCAACGTCGACATGCCGGGTCACTCACCCACCCTACGGTCATTCCAGCAAGTATTGGACAGTTATAATCTTACCAACATGATAACTGCTCCAACTAGAGTCACGTCCCACTCCGCCATGGCGTTGGATTTAGTCATTTCTCCTCCCGACAAGGTAGTGTCCTGTGAAGTAATTGCGATCGATGTCAGCAATCATGCTGCTGCCTTAAGTCATCTGAAGCCAGCAGTTCTCTCTTCGGCCCCAAATCCAAAAATGTCAAGGCACCTTCGAAGAATAGATTTGTCGCAGTTCAGTTCCGATCTTCAGGCCTTCGGCATTAACAGTTTTACATGCAACACGAGTGATTGCGACTCGATGGTGGAAGAATTGTACACGAAGCTGAAGGCAGTCCTCGACCTCCATGCCCCGGAGACGCTTTCCAAACGGCGGCGACTCCCTTGCCCTTGGCTGACTCCAGAACTCCAGCAGGCAGTTCGAGCACGAAACAGGTTCCATCAAAGTCTGAAGCAAATCCGGCGGATGCTGAGCTTCGCAAGAAACATCGAGATCAACGCTCCATTTGTCGTCGCTTGGATCGGAAACTAAGAAACCAGTACTTTTGCGATCAATGTGGATTACACGCGGCTGATACCCGAGGCTTGTGGCGTACACTGAATACGGTAACCGATCGCCGTGTTATTCATCATGCTCCCGGCATCCCTGTTCAGGATCTGCAAGATTCGTTTTCGAGCGTTCTATATGATCCCCAGCGACCTTCAAACTTGAATTCACATGCCACCACACTGGTACAGGAGTCCCACTTTGCCCGCTTCACGCCCCAAACCGTCCACTCTGTTGAGCGGATGTTTTCTCGGGTCGACCAGCGCAAGGCAACTGGACATGATGACATACCAAACCTGTTCCTGAAGAAGTGCTCTTCCATGCTTGCACCGTCATTGACCCGCATCTTTAATGTTTCCTTTCAGACTGCTAAACTCCCAGCAATGTTTAAGCAGGCTAATGTCACGCCACTTTTCAAAGGCGGTGATCCTGAACTACCGACCAACTATCGACCAATAAGTCTCCTTCCTACTGTATCACGCCTCCTAGAACGTGCAATCCACCGTGAAGTTGTTCGATACTTCGAGTCCGAGAATCTTCTTCCGGAAACTCAGTTTGCCTACCGTCGCCATCATTCCACAGAGGACGCGCTGACACTGGCCGTACATCGATGGAGGACAGCTAGGGACCGGAAACAGTCCACTGGTATTGTGTTTGTCGATATGTCAAAATCGTTTGATAAGGTTCGCCACCAAATGCTGTTAGATGATCTTCACGGAAAGGGTGTACGTGGCACTGCTCTGGCCTGGTTTGCCAGCTATTTGTCGGGTCGGAAACAACATGTTAAAGTTGGTTCTTCATCGTCATGCTACTCGGAGTGTTCAAGTGGTGTACCGCAAGGTAGTATTCTCGGCCCGTTTCTTTTTTCTGTATACATCAGTTCCATCGACTCTCATCTACCGCCTGGTATTTGTCACCAAGAATTCGCCGATGATATCACCTTAGATACATCATCATCCAGCCGTGCAGACATCAGCTCTAAGCTTAGTGTCACATGTACGCGTCTCGCCGTCTGGCTCAATGGACGCGGTTTGAGCCTCAACGCCACCAAGACCTGTGTGCTGCACATTGCTCCTCGGAGCACCCTTGATCCCTTGCCGCCTGTGATATGCGATGGCGCTGTGCTCCCTGTTGTGTCGCAGACCAAGTACCTAGGCTTGACTGTAGACGATCGCCTGACTTGGAATAGCCACGTTACGCATATCTGTAAAACGTCTCGACAGGTTATAGGAGCACTGTGGAGAAATCGGAAGTGTCTCTCTGTGCAGTCGAAGCGAATGGCCTACACGTCCATGGTAGAGTCCAGGATCCGCTATGGATGCTCAGCTTTCTTTAGCTCTCTCTCCAAGGCTAACGAGGAGAGACTTCAACGCCTATGCAACCTAACCCTGCGAGCCATGTGCAATCTGACCTCCCGTACCCGTACGACTCCCGTGTATGCGGAACACAACCTGCTTCGTGTACACCAGCTCTTGCGTGAGACAGTGTGCTCGCTGGTCTACCGGTGCCTACATTCCACCATGAAGCAGCCGCTGATCAGCGCATTATTTGGAGATTTCGTCACTCCGACTAGGGCTGGCCAAACGCGCGGCTCCCAACAACATCTGCTGCAGCTTCCATCCAGAACTCATCCCGTGTCTCTTTCTGCGGCACGCGTTTTGAACAGTCTTCCACCTGATGCGAAAAACATCACGTCCCCCCTCCAGTTCAAGGGTGTGTTGCACGCATATTGTCTTTAATACTGTAGCATGACAGCAACCCCCCTCCCCTATCTTGAGTATAGTACTAGTAGTATGTAGTAATCCTGATGCTCTGATACATGCCGAGGCTAGCTGTGCTCGGTCTCCGGCTAGCTGTATGCTCAGTATACATTCTTGATCTTATCTTCTTCTTTTTTTCTTTTTTTTCCTTTCTCTTTTCTTTAAAATGTTTTACTGCCAGAAGTCGTCTTCATATAAGGAGGCAGATATGCCTGTTTGTTGCACGACTTTAAATAAATCCAACCAACCAACCAACTAATAGGCACCAGCGGATTCTGCTCGAAAAGCAGTGAAATTGGCAGAACCATACAAACCTTATGGCGGGCAATTCCTCGAATTCTGCTCCATTTCTTTATCCACATACCAAACATGCATGAAACTTACCAGAAAAAGTACGTAATTCTGCCAATTTTTCTGCCGGCATAATCCGCCGGTGCCTACTGAGTCACGACTTTTGGTGGTGGTAGTGGTGGTAGTGGTGGTAGTGGTGGTAGTGGTGGTAGTGGTGCCAGTGGTGCCAGTGGTGCCAGTGGTGGTAGTGGTGGTAGTGGTGGTAGTGGTGGTAGTGGTGGTAGTGGTGGTAGTGGTGGTAGTGGTGGTAGTGGTGGTAGTGGTGGTGGTGGTGCCAGTGGTGGTAGTGGTGCCAGTGGTGGTAGTGGTGGTAGTGGTGGTAGTGGTGGTAGTGGTGGTAGTCGTGGCAGTGGTGGTAGTGGTGGTAGTCAAGTTTTTTTCTGACTTTTCCCCATCTCAACTCCGGAGAAGTTAAGCCTAATATCAAATGTTCACCAGTTGTAGTCTTCGGGGTGCTGAGTCGAATGGTTTTGGGCCAAGAAAGCTGAGACGCTCCGGTCATCCTTTATTCCCAATTGAACTCGCACACTTCCACCGAAACTGGGTGACTGCGCCCTAATGCTAGTAGATGGGCATTTGTAAGCAAAGTCTCACTAAAAGTGCCCTTTCGTTTCTATAAAAGCACAGATGACCACGAGCGGCCCGTATGTTGTAGTCTTTCGGACGCTGCGTCGACTGGTTTTGGTCGGAGAAAGCTGCGATGCAGCGTTCGGCCCGCATTCCCGATCGAACATACAGTAAAACCTGTAATGGCGACCACTCCACCATAGCGACCACTCCACCATAGCGACCACTTTTCCTTGTCACGGACAATTCACATTCAAGACAGCTCAGATAAGGCGACCACTCGCTCAACGCGACCGACGACCACCCACCCACGACCGCGTTGCACCCTGCTAGTACATGTCAATGTGCGCATTACATGGTGCACCATGCATGGTAGATCTACACATTGCATGGTGCACCATGCATGGTAGATCTACACATCAGTGGAGGAAGTGTAGATGTACATGGTGCATGCACATGATGCATGACATTTGACAGGAGGTCTGAGGATCCCAGACACATAAGTCGTGCTAGAGTAGCATAGATGTGTGCAGTGTGATACACTGATCACAATGATATATCACATGTATTATGAAGTGGATATGGTCACGTGACCCACTGAACCTGGATAAGAAGACCACCTGGCCACGGCGACCACTTTTTCTCGTCCCTTGAGGGGTCGCCTTAGGCAGGTTTCACTGTAGCTGATTAAGCGATCACGTGCTCATGCGTGCACATGTCACTTGGTCGCCGTGCTTGCAGGGTCCGGGTACAACTTACAGCCTGTTTGGGCCCGTTAGTCGGGGATCCAGGACAAAAAAAAGTGTCTAAATCTGAAAGTGGTCTGCCACTAGAATCCGAGTAAAATCGAACTGTACAGGTGGAGAGAGTACCTGTTGTGGAGTCGAATGGTAGTTGTTGGCCCGTCTAGATCGGGGAAGGAGCTCCGCGAGAGGCAATTTTAGTTCAGCTTCGTCGGTCACTTGAACTGCTCACCTTTCGTCTCGGGCCGATTCTGAGTTGCGTAGAGTACGCACATGACAACCAAATGCAGTCAAATTTGAAAACTCAAAGCGAGTGTCTGATCTGGTCGGCGACTACACTTTGTTGTTGATCATAATAATTATTCTTGGTCAAGAAGTTTACTCTCGCTCTTGTAGAAGTAAAGCACAGGGACTTCGTAAGCCTAGCCTAGATATCGTTTGGTCCTTCCACTACCCACTCGCAATGGCAGCCAACAAACTACCCGTCGTGTCGTGTAGTTTGACGCCGCTTCGCGAGTGATCTCAAATGTTTTCTTGATTGGAATTTCGTTGATACGATCGATACGAGGGACACCTTACCTATCATTCTGCAAAGTTAAGCTTGGACCCTTTCCCTGCTTCTCTCTCAGGCACACACACCTTCAATAGCACTCGATTAAATTAGAGTTAGAGAAGACTAGAAATGATATAAACGCATTGTAGTCACTACTCAATCGAAAATGAAATAAATAAATACTACAACTGTAGTAAGGAAGACATGACCAGTGCTGTGCAATTCATGGACAATATGCCCAGTTTAATATGTAAATTGGAATAAAATGTAGGATGATAGCGTCATCACTTTAGAAGCCAAGCTATGTACAAGCAGTTTATATACAATGTGTGAACAGGTTAGGTGTGTTGACAGCCATAGCCATAATTCACAAACACAATGGGTGGCTTGGACCAGGGGAGGACGGTGCAGTTGCCAGTGTCTACAGCGAGTCGTCAAACTCCTGATCTGGATCCTCATCAGAATCTGAGCTGGAGTCAGACTCTTCAAAGTCGTCAGCACCAGTACTTTCCTCGCTCTCACTGTTTTGGTCGCCTTCACATGCAGTTGTTCCCACATCTGCGGCACCGGAGCTGTCCTTCTGTTCGAGTACGGCCCCAAACGGATTGGCGCATGAGCAGCACGAGCAGATGTCCGTGCAAGCCAAGGACGCCTTCTTGCACGAACAGTGCTGACTTACGCAGTGCCTTGTCTTGCACCCACAGCTCACCAGTTTTAGTATGTCAGCAGGAGCGACGCGCTGCAGCATCCAGGAGATGGAAAGCGTGCCGTCAGTCTCCGACTGCCAGCCATGGCCCACTGGACTCGGTACTTCTGGCATCGCAGTGGTGGCGCTCCGCCAAATGTGGGCCTGGTAGTTAGCCCTGGCCACATGTTGATGGAGAGCGTCGCGTGAGGGCGGTAGTTTGTGCGGAGCACAGGATGTGGCCGCACAGAACTTTTGGTAGCGCAGGCTGTTGATGTCTTGCTGGCCAGGATTGCCATACAAGGCACACGCAAACCACTCACATTCAGAAAGCAGCTGGTCATCCGATGTAGCATTGACACCCAGTGTCGCCAGTGCCTCTGCCATTCGCGTGCTTGACAGGAGCAGCTTCAGCGGAGCAGTCTTTCCCTTCCCAGAAAAGGAACTGACACTGTCACACCCAGTAAGAGCATGCAGTCCAACAATTGCAGACGAAACCAGGGGGCCCAGCTTCTGTGACAGCTGGGTAAGGTCGATGAACCGCCTCCGTTGCTGCGTGCCAGTCTGGAATATGAGCCGACCGGGAATGCTGCTAGCGGAGCCAATGGCAATCACGGCTACATCCGTGTCTGGCGACCGAATGACAACATCTGGGAATCCTTGCTGCACAGCATCAGCGGCATGAAGGATCAGCCGGGTGTCTGCTTCCTCATGATTGCTGGTCAACCTGTGAACATGATCAAAATTGTAAAAAGAGCAAAATGATTTCCCGGGCATTCAGAGAACGATAACATGGCTCTGCCAGATTATGTGATTTTCATCACTGAATTCAATCCATCAGCAATATCCTACTTGTACTTGTGGGACCAATATGCAGCAAATGTTTTATACCACTTGCTTGACAATAGTCAAAGTCGCAATAAACATGACATTGTACTGTTTGTCTTTTATAATACTAACCTGGACACCTGGTGCCGTGAAAGTGTCGATTTCCCTTCTTCTTCTTGCAACACGTAGCACTGCTGTCCCACGGTTATGAATACACTGCGACTGACACCCAATGTTGCCTTGAGCTCCGGTGTAGAACTCCAATGGTCAGCGAAGAACTGGATTAGGCCGGCCTTATTCGCTCCGCTTGCCATGAACCGCTTCCACTGAGTAGGAACAGCCTGGTCTGGACGTTGTACTGCCACTCGCAGGGGCTCAGTTGAGGCCGTTCGCTTTGAGCGCTCGCACGACTTAATCGACGCAGTGTGGTATTGATCTGCTATGAAGTCAACTCGTGCTGGAGGTGTAGCTGGAAGGTCGCTTTTCGAGCTTCCCATAGTCGCTTTGATCCCGTTTCATTCTGCTGTCTGTGTTGTCCTTGTGTGGACGTGCTGTGCCATCATAGTCCTCCGCTTTGACGAGGTCGTTACATGCACTTGCAACAGCCGCTCGCTCGTGAGCTGTGAGCACCCAGCGGTGAACAGTTCCTTTATAGGACAATTATACAGAAAAGGGAAGGAGAAATACATCATCATGTACATGTAATCCACAACTGTTCAGGATCACATTAGAGTCGAATCATTTCCTATTCGTGATGCAGGTGGGCAGCACTGTGTTTGCATAGTGTACATTGGTTGCTTACTGTTTGATCTTGCATGTGGGATCATCAGGAAGTATCTCCCCATCAGTGTACATGTATGTTCTATTGGATAATTTGAAGTTCGGTCAGTTGTTACGAATTTTTGCCCTTACCTGGGTTGCGGCTGAAGCCAATGAGTCCTCCATGTGACTTGCTTTGCCGGTTGATGGTCTGTTCAATGCACTGATCAACAGCCACCTTCGAGAAGCTGTTCGTAGACCTTGCAACAGAGAAGCAACCTCCTGATAGGGCTCTGTGGGCAGGAGGGTTGGTAGCAGGCAGTTGACGCATTTGTTGCCAATACAGCGACAGGTACCTGTGAAGCACAATGTAATGAGAACTCAATTTAGGAGAACTGAATGATTCGTATTTGAAGCAAAATGTTTTAATTGCGTCGGTCACACAGCTGATAACTTAATGAAGGGCCCAAGCATCTCACCTGGAGTAGTTCTGTCGATCGTATGCAAAGAACCATGGCAACATGTTCTCTATGCATGCCAGATGTAGCGACCAGTTCCCTGTCCGCGTAGCTCGGATGAATTGAAGCAGCAGGCCAACCATGTCGAGGTATGTTAGCCAAAACTGGGCCATGGGTGATGCTGGGCTGGTGCGTTGCAGCTGAACATGCTTTCGGTACCCTTGCTCAAGTTTCTGGTAGCTGGATGAACTGGTTACTGACTCAGCACCATCAAATATACCAGATGTGCGCAATGCTGACAAAGTTCCTTCAAGATCGCTTGACACCGTGTCTCCTCCACCTTCAATACATGAACACACACGCACATGTACATAGGTCAGAAAATTAGAACACAAAGTGCTACATGCAGACCACTGGAGTGAGAACAACAGGCACCATTTCTCAAACTACTTCACTTCGTCTAGTGTGCACAGATGGAATGCAATAAAGAAAGTTTGCAGCACAACTCCTATGTTTCTGTCCCCTCACCTTCAATGCTGTCCTCGTACAGCTTCCAGTTCACTCCCAGCAGACACTCAAAGGCAAGCTTATGGAGGCGAACACCGCGGTTGTAATGCTTGCCGGCCATCACCTGCTTGCACGCATTGCTGCCAACTACGCCTGACTCGACGAGGAGGTCTTCCAAGCCAGCACTGCCAAACCTCTTCCCAAGAACAGCAAGGAAGGCACACGACGTATGGAATGCACCCATGCGGAGGACTACATCCTTCAGCTCAGCATTTTTCCAGCAAACTTCCACAGCTTTGGCATAAACTGCTTGGTCGGCGGTGATGATACAATGTGGCTGATTCAGCTTCTTCGATGTGCGGAGGGACCGGACAACAAGCTCATAAACTGTGCTCATGGCTGTAGGCGATGCTGGGATGATCGGCAGGTAACCGACTGTTGTTGGTGTCCCTGGCGCGGTTGACTGGTTCAGTTCAGCATTGAAGCCGGACCATGCGGGTACCAGTTGTGACTCGTCATCAGGTCTACCAAACTTCGGTGATACCGTCTGGTCTGCGCGCAACAAGAACCAAATCAGGTCAATCGATGCCACAGTGAGAAATGGGTCAATCGAGCCTTGTGCATCAGGAACTGGATGGGCCATTGGAGGAGGTCTTGGTCTCGCACCGCAGTTGTATTCTAGGCTCGGAACTGCAGGTGGGGCAACACTTCGCGGTCGGCGTTGGTTACCTGGCTCGGCACGGCTCGTACTTTCTGGTGGACACGGATCGTCCTGGAAGGGCAGCGAGTGCTGGAGCACAATGCCGTTGGTGCAGTGTGTCGTCCCTTGGCCACTCAGAGTTTCCTCGTTGAGGTCGTTATTGTCCCAGCAGAAATGAACATCACCTCCATGCTGGGAAATGCCACGGGGTACTACAACACTGCTGGCTGCGGAACTTCCTGCTACTTCGAGAGAATACCCGGTTTCTACTTCTCGCAGCTTTGAATACGATATGCCATGGCCGAACTGGTTGAGAAGATCATGTGCTTGCTCCTCGTGTGGTGGTGGACAGTAAGCGCCAAAGCTACGTGCCTTGGTGTCAGAATAGATCCACGAGTTGCAGCATACACAATATCCTCAGCAATTGCCAAAATCTTGCAATGAATGTCGGCAGGGACATGGACACGGGAGTCCGTCAGGTCACCAATGTCACACTTCTCAGGGCCGACAATGGTCATGGCAAGCACATTGTAGAGGATGTCTGGCACTGGCGCATTCTCATTTACGATATCACTGGCATGTGGCATGGTGGGTATTGTGGGCTGCTGATCACGGATGGCGTTGTTCAGAGCCATGGCTGTGTGGAAGGCATGTACCTTGCAGCTGCTATCAATAGCTGGAGGTGCATCTTCATCCGCCATATCATCTCCAGCATATTCGTCGGCGCACTGCTGGGCTGCCTCAGCCTTGGCTACTGCTGCACCAACTACTTGTAGCAGTTGTGATTCTGTCAAGGAGCTGCTTACAACGCTCTCGGGTGACAATGGACCAGGACGGACGAAGTTGATGCGTTTTCCAAAATGCTCCAACAGGCGCTTCTTCAGCAGCCATCGTCGGTATTGACTTGCAGCTCCGAGCTCTGCCAGCTTGGCGCTGTACTTGGACGTCAGGCTGTCCATACGCATCGCTCGTATTTCTGTCTCACTGAAGAGCTCCTTCTCCATGCATACAGCTAGCCACTCAAAGGCTCTATCGTACACATTGTCGTCTGCAACTGCCGTCGTCTTCTTTGCCTCCAGTGCTGCCACCGTGCTAGAATGAGTGTAGTTACGGTAGCAGCAGAAATGGTAGCATATGTCCGATGCTACACAATCGGGACTGCCCTCCTGGAGGGTAAGTAAAATCCGCTGGCCTGCTTCATCTCCACGTGCATTTGCCGCACGGATCAGGCTTTCGCCAGCACGGAATTCTGAACAGAGGGTAAGCGGTTCAGCTTTCCGGTTCTTTTTGTTTTGTTTTTTTGTTGACATATTATACACAGAGTGATGTCGATGGTTGTCACTTTGCTTCGTGTCATAACACGCTTCTTGGGAGGTTCATCCTCACAGGCATCTGCGTCACCCACCTCCTCTGCGTCAACATTGCTGACAAGGCCACCACTCTCCTCTCCCTCAAAACGACTCAGAGTCTTCTTGTGGGTGTAGGCTGCATAGCAGCGCCTATGGTACCAGCCACGCGGGGTGCTCTCATCCGTGCTACACTGCTCCTGGCAGAGAAAGGCCCATGTGCCGTCCTGGCGAATTTTGGCAGCAGATACCACTCGAGACCAGCTGGTGTTCGTGAAATTTACTTTCTCCTCCTTTTCGCTTCCTTCGATCTTCACACAGTGGCACAAACATGAGCCCCACGAAATTTCCGAAACCTGAGTACTGGCTGAAGCCACTAAATGCCCAACACTACCTGGACTTTGTGCACAGGAGGCACAATTCTCGTCTTCCTCCATGCTTACTCGCGTGGGATTGAAATTGAAAGACCTCGTGCTTCCTCAAATAAGTTCCCCGGCCAGAGTCGTCATTTTCTACGGCGTCGTCATTTCCTAAATTTTTCAAATGTTTGTCGTGGGTGCGCAATGTGTGCATGCTCAAGCCATGCGCGTACGGACGCACGGCGAAAATAAATTTGCGACCTCCTTGAGAACGCTTGAGAAGGCTTGCGAAATCGTCGACGAAAACCCTCTCGCCGCTCGTCTCCTTCCCCGATTCAGAAGGGCCAACAAACAAAATTGACCTTCTATAACCATCACCTATCAGCTCTGAAAGCGGCAAATACTCGGAGTGAAGTGGCAGACCCAATTTTATTTTTGAGCTTCGGATCCTGTACTACGTTTCTGTCACTGGAGTTGAACCGTGGACCCCGGGCTTGGTGTGAAAGTTGTGGCCTGCAGGCACGGTGACCAGGTGAGTCATTTGTGCGCTGAGTCGATTGGTTTTCGTCCGAGAAGACTGCGATGCAGCGTTCGACCCGGATAACGGCGGATTCCTAATCGAACACGGGTGAGTAAGCGGTCACGTGCTCATACGTACACCAGTGGCCTGGCCACCGTGCCAGTACGGTACGGCCCTGCAGGCTACAACTGCTTACTTTTACAGCGTTCCTGACACTCGGGTTGAACATGTGAACAGTTGAGTTGAACCTTGGTTTGAAAGTTGTAGCCTGCAGACACGGTGACCAGGTGGCTGGTGTACACACAGCTTCAAGCACGTGACCACTTACTTAACCTGGTTTGACTGAGAATAAAGGCCGAACGATGCATCGCAGCCTTTTTGGACCAAAACCAGTCGAGCCACCATCCAAAAGACTACAACATACGAGCTAATCGCGTTCATCAGTGCTTTTTTAAGAACGAAAGGGCCGCTTTTAGTGTCATTTTGCATACAAATCCCCATCTAGTCGGGCGCAGTCACCCAGCTTCGGTGGAAGTGCGCGAGTTCGATTGAGAATAAAGGAGGAAGGGAGCGTCTCACCTTCCTCGGACCAAGACCATTCGAACACAACTGGTGAACAGTTGATTTTTAGTGTACCCGTATACAATGTAGCTCCCCTTTAAGGTGGCAGCCTGGTCCAAAAATCCCTGAAAAATCGAATTTGTAAATTCATATCGAGTGCTACATCAGTTGAAAGAGCATGAACAGCTGCAAAACCTCTGAAAATTTTGTCTCAATCTCCCCAGCCGTTCAAGGGTTATGGCCGAAAATGTGCCCTTGCTAGGAAAGATTTTTTGTTGCACGCTGTCATTTGTTGGCAGCACTTTATTTGAATGTGAGCAGACCGTGCGCAACTTGTCGTATCATGCAAACACGCGAAAGTGTGCAGAATTTTGCTCCAAGTCCAAAAAAGTTCAAAAAATCACGTTAAAAACCACGTATTGGGCTGCACGGAGGCGGGCAAAGCCCGCCGCCGTGCAGCAGAACTTTTGCCAGCACCCTCGTGACGTTGCAGATATGTGGCATGATTATTGTAGTTGACGTTGATTTAGTGACTTTGGCAAGTTTGAGTCGTGTCAAGAAGTCAGGTAGAATTCAGTACTAGGCAGTAGTGAAACGTGAGTGGTAGTCTTAGCCGATTTTGGAGGGTATCCTGGATTTGGTGTGTAGCGCTGAGGAAATGGCTTGCTGTGAAGGTCCCAGCACTGGATGTTGTATCAAAGGTACGACCTCGTAGCACGCCCTGAACCTAAAAAAATTCAAAAATTGACTTGGGTCTGTGGGAATCTGTGACAGAACACCCACTCCTGCCGTTGTGACAGATTCCAGGGCCAAGTTGAAGGGCCCTGTCCCACCACCCATGGCTTCTTCTGGACGTTTTTTAGGTTTGGATCCTGCGCACGGACAGAATTGGCTAGAAAATGTGAAAAAATTGTAAATGTATTTGTTTGGCTCCTGGGTGGCTCGCACACCGTGGCACTATGCCGGAAATTTGAGTTTTTCCGGCCTGTGAAGCCTGTCAGTGAGGCGCAAGAACTTGTAAATCATGTCCAGAGGGCCAGCATAGTGGCAGGGGTGTGTAGTGCAAATTTCACTCAAATCCATTGAGAGACACCAAAATTACGGTCAATTGAATGCCATATGAAATTTAGGACCAGGCTGCTACCTTAACTTTCGCTGCCAGAGCATCTTCTGGTGAAATGTTAAATGCATGACGCATCTTCTGGTGAAATGCTAAATGCATGATGCATCTTCTGGTGAAATGCTAAATGCATGATGTACAGTGTGCATTTTACTCATTGCAGTGCATAATGATAACAGTAGTTCTGCACACAAACACACGTGTGCTTAAGTCTTACTATAGGTGCTTAGCACGTGTTTGCAGACAAACAAATCAACGAAAATATTATCAAAACCAACACTCAATTTGTGATAGCATAGGGCAGTGTACTACGTAATTCGCCAATTGGCGCACGGACATTGATATGACAGAACCCGATTCCTGCAGAGATTACCCATGCTAACTGCAGAGATCACCCATGCTAACTGCAGAGATCACCCATGCTAACTGCAGAGATCACCCATGCTAACTGCAGAGAGTACCCATGGCAACTGCAGAGATCACCCATGCTAACTGCAGAGATCACCCATGCTAACTGCAGAGATCACCCATGCTAACTGCAGAGATTACCCATGCTAACTACAGAGATTACCCATGCTAACTGCAGAGATTACCCATGCTAACTGCAGAGATCACCCATGCTAACTGCAGAGATTACCCATGCTAACTGCAGAGATCACCACCCATGCTAACTGCACCAGCACACATGAAAGTCCATGCAGAATGGTGTCTGCAACCCAAAGATAGCCATGGGTAGTAATAGTGCAGTATAATAACTATTATTAGGGCTCAAACAATTATACCGATTACTCGCATATCGATCGTTAAGAGTGGAATCGATAATCGTTAGTGTTCAAAACGAGTGCTAACGATGTTTATGCGTGTATATCAGTGACAGTATTCTAGCCCTTGCACTCCATCCGATATCGAATACGAGTACAATCATGTACTTTCAAGCGCAGTAAAATTGACTTGTGGCTTTGAAAGAGATCGGGAGAGAAGACTTTGTCTTTTAAGCTCATTTGTGGGAAAGGTCAGAGCAGTTGCCGGAGGGTGATGACAAGATTCTTCGATCTAGAAACAATGTGAAATCCTCTAGTTCATGTGGATAAACCAGCCAGATGTCTACAGATGTCAACAGTGAGGAGCCACAAAGTTCTAACGTTGTAAAGGTATCGTCGAATATCTTCATAAACTGGTGTTCGAGGTACACGGGTAGAGCCGACAAGAATCGATAAAACCAATATATCGATCGTTAATGATATTGGTTGATCGTTAAGAGATATTGAATGAGCTACACTAAAACAACCAAGGATTAAACAATGCGCAATCACCTTCTTTTCTAAATTGGTGCTGTTACCTGTAATGGGGACCTGGAGTTGAGGGTGGCTGGCTGAGCTCTGCATGATATACATGTACATTGTGTTTGCAGTACAAGCACGGGACTGCACGGGACTGCATATACCTACGCATGCATCGACGAACATTCGACACTTTGAAGTAGCGAATCGAATTCTCTTCAACTCCCATTCGGAGCGAACCTAATCGAACGTTCTAAAATTCGTTTCACCCCTAACAATTACGCTTTGTTTTGTTTCCAAACAGAGTTTATTGACAGCCGGAAATGTCACGTCAACCACTTTGACGGCAGCGACACGTAACCTGGACGATACCCTGAAGAAATCATCTGCGACCACGGCTGAAACTGTCACCAAGGTTACCTGTATCCTGGAAGAGGTTATCTTGAAGACGCCAGAAAACCAAACACATGAGCAGGTAACGAAAGTACCCAATCAAATGGCTGTCTCACTCCCAATCAAATGGCTGTCTCACTCCCAATCAAATGGCTGTCTCACTCCCAATCAAATGGCTGTCTCACTCCCAATCAAATGGCTGCCTCACTCCCAATCAAATGGCTGTCTCACTCCCAATCAAATGGCTGTCTCACTCCCAATCAAATGGCTGTCTCACACCCAATCAAATGGCTGTCTCACTCCCAATCAAATGGATGTCTCACTCCCAATCAAATGGATGTCTTACTCCCAATCAAATGGCTGTCTCACTCCCAATCAAATGGCTGTCTCACTCCCAATCAAATGGCTGTCTCACTCCCAATCAAATGCCTGTCTCACTCCCAATCAAATGCCTGTCTCACTCCCAATCAAATGCCTGTCTCACTCCCAATCAAATGCCTGTCTCACTCCCAATCAAATGGCTGTCTCACTCCCAAGCAAATGGCTGTCTCACTCCCAATCCCTCTCTCGCTGATCCGAGTAGCAGCTAAAATCCTGAGTGATTTTGTCTTCAATGTATGCGAAGGCATTGCGCTTAGCGCGTTGAGCGCTTCTTCAACAACTGTTGTTACTTTTCTGATATTCATTCCTGTCTGGTATGAGTTCTGTAGCAGTGCCTAACACCTCCAATACTCCCCCTTTCTCTTCCTCCTTGCACAGCTCGTTGAGGTTGCACAGGCAGTTGCCAACACTATCAGCAATGCCATTGGCGCCTTGCACATCACTGGGAGTCAGGAGCGTGCACGCAATCCGCTGCAAACCAGCAGCGACGGTAGCACTGTGCCCGATGCGAATGCTCAGGCTAAATCTGCAGCCTCTAAGAAGTAAGTAGGCAATATCTCTGGGGCATTGACCTCGCACAATGAAGACTTGAACCACCCTCTGAAAACCAGGTCTGCAAGTACCGGTATTGAGATGGTGAATGTTCAATCAGCATATGTGCACATCGGTTTAAAATTATGCGAACAAAGAAATCGTATTTCCTGGAGTAAACCATGTCCTATTGCTGTGATTTGGGGCGAACCAAACTTTAAACATTCAACTGCAACAAATAATCATATCGTCTGTTTCTTAGATACGGATACCTGTGGAAGATACTACCAGTGGTTCAATACTGACAACAGAGAGGTTAAACGACTTGTTTCTTTCATACGAAACGAGTCAATGGATTAGGTCTGGGTAGTCTCGTGAAGATCTCATAGATTTCATTCATTTCCTCGAGTCTGGGCTGTTTGATTCATGCGTAGCTCGGTGATTCCATTGCACCAAATAAGGATGCACCATAGCAAAATTGCTTCTAGATCTGCGTCTTTGATCCTGGAGGGTGGTGGCGTTCCCACGGCGAATACGGAAACCGCGGCTTCCAGCCGAGTCTCACGCGAACCGTGAAATTGATTTTTATTTTATAGCAAAATAAGAACTATGATCTAGTACCTGTTAAGTTGTACTGTAAATCAATAAAATATTTGGCGCTTTTTTATTTTCGGCTATTTTCGGCCTGGACATGTTTGGCAGAAAATTTGTTGCGGCCGAAATTTTGTTTTGCAGGGTTCAGTGTGACAGTGTATACAGGCGGCAGCAGTACAGGCCGAAAATTTCATGCGGCCGAAATGGGTTTAGCCCAGGGTGGCCGAAATTTGAATGAGCCGAATAATTGTCGACTTGCAGTACCGGTATTTCTGTTGCCTCAGTTGCCATCATATCACCATGGCAACCGCAGCGCACGAGTCTCTGGACCACTCTTACATATTGCACAATTTGAACACGAAAAGAAATCGATTTCCCTATCCGCTTACGAGTTCGCAATACGGTAAGTCGCTGACCCTCTCTGATACGAGTTGGGCAAGGCAACTCAATTTCTTGCAAAGTAGTTGTCTAGTTTGTTCTTCGTCACTGCTGAACTGATAACATGTACTGTAGAACGGGTAATTTTAGCGACGTAAAAACCCTAGCGAATTTAGCGATCGACTCATTTTCGCTAAAGTTTCAAGTCGCTAATCCGTTGAGACATTAGTAGTGCGCTGGTGATCCGTGAGTAAATTCGCTGAAAATCGCTAAAATAGAACGTCGCTAACCGGTTGAAAATGGGAAAACGCTAAAATTGATAGTCGCTAAAATGACCCGTTCTACAGTACAGCCTTCGCACTATATGCAATAGTATAGGGGTTGTGCAATGATGGATTGCGGTAGATGAAAACCTGTCGAATGTCGCCATGATATGGGAATTCACTGGTTTGAGGGAAAGACGCAAATATTTAGAAAAGCGATCCTGTCAGCTTTTCTATTATTGTGTTCACATGGCAGAAAAAACGACATCGCTATGCTACGTAAGTTTCTACGTAAGGTGCTCGGTATTTCACTTAGGCTACGTAAGTTTCTACGTAAGGTGCTCGGTATTAGATCTACTAACGAGTGGTAGCCGCGTGCTGTGCACGGCAGACATTGTGTTGCAGTGCAGTCCTTTTTCAGATGTGCACGCGCGAGGAACTTCCTTCTTTGGAACTGCTTCTTGCATGAGCTGTTTCGGATATTTCGTGTCCTGGCTTATTTCGCTTCGGCTCTGCGGAGACATCCTTTCACGGAATATTACTCAATGACAGCTGAAGACAGGTGAGTTGACCAGTTCCCTTTGATCCATTTGCTTGTGTTGACTCTTTCATTTACGAAAAGTGTGCTGATTTTAGGTGGAATACAATAAATAATGGAAAAGTTGACAGGATCTCTTTTCTAAATTTAGCTTTTCTGCTGTCGAGGCCTCCTTTTACGGAATACTCAATTACAGGTTATCTCTGAGTTGACCAGTTTCCTTCGATTCATTTGCTTATGCTCAACCTTTCATTTACGGAAACGTGTGTTGATTTTATTCAGATTTAGATCCATTCGTATCTCTTTGCCCTTGCCAACAGTGTGCGAAGAACGCGAGTTCACCTTCTTGACGGTAAGACTTATTTTGCTGCTGAGGCTTAGATGTGTTGTCGAAATACTCATGTTCATTGTACATTGGTACGTTACAAGTAAGGCACTGGTCATGATTGCTTCCGGCATTCCGTGCTCCGATCATAGGGTAGAATCTGAATTTTGCAGTGGCATAGCATCGTTGGCAGTTCCCAATCTGGAGGGAAAGGTTCAAGGACGCATTGGCCGAGTATGCAAAATAAATTCGCATATGAGGGAAAATCTCCATTATGGAGAGGTTCATGCATTCAGTGCTTGTTTGCTTCATACGAAACAAGCCAATGGGTGCAGTCTCGTCTCGTGAAAATCTCGTACGATTAGATTTGTTTACTCGAGTCTGGGCTGTTTGATTTGTCAGTAACGCCGAGATTACACTGCCCCAAATAAAGTTGCGTGCCGGCAGAGCAAGAATTGCGATCTCAAATCTGTTTGTAGTACCTGCAAGAATGTGCTGTACATGTATCGTATTTTCTCTGTTGTTGTTTCAGTTGCCGTCATGTTGCTAAAGAAAGGTTCAGTGACTAATTTGTTTCATACAAGACGAGTCAATGGTTTGGTCTGGCTTAGAATCTTTCGCTGTAGAAGAAATCTATTCGTGTCTCTATTGGAGAAATAATTGTATTCACTCGTTATAATAGAATAGGGTTGAGACAAACTCACAGAACAAATACCATCGGTCCCTTGATGTTCGTCCTAAAGAGGTTTGACTGAATATCATTCATACTCCCCCAAGCCGTGTAACATTTTATTATTATGGAGCGCCTTGTGTATCTCTCAGTACCTCCAACCATATATCCTTGCCCCTTATATCCTCAGGATCAGTGTACTTCGAAGTACATGTAGTTATTGGAACGAGGTGTAGTATTTGTGTACATTTTAATACATGTTTATTGTTCCTACTTTGCTGTGTTGTTTTAGACAATCGTGGACTTGTAACACTTTGAAGTCATTGAACTACTTCCAAAAGTTGTATCGACATAAACAGGATTACGATTTCAGTACAATATGATGCCGGATGACCTTATCACGACAACCCATGACTACAATTATAAACACAGAATCAACAAAAACATCTGCAGCGTGCACCTGGTTACAATTCTCAAGTAAATGTGATTTAGGGTGTGGACATCTGAATTTTCTGAAAGACAAGACAATTTTATGACAGAGTCATGAAATTCTGCAACAGCAACATCCAAAGAATGACCTGCGTATAAAAAAAAGTATCACCGCCACTACCCATATGATTTCCCCTGCAGAAGAACATGAATACCGGTATGCAAGACTAGTGCCATTTGCTGCAAGAAAAGGCTTGCACATCTGTCATCAATGCGTATAAATACGGTATTATTATTATTATTATTTATTCATATTTTGATAGGGCAATCCCCACAGACTCAAGGTCTTCTTACGGGGTACCCTAAGAATGAAAGTAATGCATGGCGAAATAGGGATGGCGATGCAGCAGTGCGGATATCAGATGGAGCACTATTCCATCTGTCTGCAGCCAAATAAGAGAGAGAAAACAGACCGTAGCGTGTTGAATTTGATATGATGCACACGTACGAGGCGCTACATCTAGGCAAGAGTACATGGGGGTTATGTACTCTTGATGGAGGCCATGATTTAGGGCATTCCATTGGTGACACAATTATTATAATATTATAATATCCTTAGCAAAAAAAAACAAAAGAAATTATAGCAATAAAAACTGCTTTATGGCAGTTTTCTAAAAAAGTTATTGTGTTCTAGTCCATGGACCCCGTCTAAAAAGTAAGAAATTAACGAAATGTGATAGCCGAAAATTAAAATTTCACACAAAACCTCACAATAATCACAACACTTGAGGATCTTTAATAAATTAATAGTTAAAAAAATACTGCTTTCAACACTTGTTTGGTCTGACACTTCACGGGTACGGGTGACTTGTACGAGTACTGCGCCAACATGCATGAATAGGAAAGAGGACCACGAGGGGAAAAGGTCTTCTCGCTTTTCATCCTGTGTGTGATTATTGTGAGGTTTTGTGTGAAATTTTAATTTTCGGCTATCACATTTCGTTAATTTCTTACTTTTTAGACGGGGTCCATGGACTAGAACACAATAACTTTTTTAGAAAACTGCCATAAAGCAGTTTTTATTGCTATATGGCCATTGTACTTGGAGTGCTGGTCGACTCACATTCCACGATCGGAGTCTAAGCCACAGTGACCTTTGAGTTCTTTATGTTCTTTTAAGTATGGACAACACTTGGGAGAAGATGGGGCGAACCGTTCTATCAAGAAGAGTTTGTTCAAAATTAATAGTTTGTGTGCGTATACATGTGCGTTTGTGTGTGCATGTGCGCGGGCATGTGCGTTTGTGCATGTATGGGCATATGTTTGCATGTGTGTGTGTGTGTGTGTGTGTGTGTGTGTGTGTGTGTGTGTGCGTGTGTGTGTGTGTGTGTGTGTGTGTGTGTGTGTGTGTGTGTGTGTGTGTGTGTGTGTGTGTGTGTGTACCTGTGTGTGTGTGCATATGTGTGTCTGTGTGTGTGTATGTGTGTCTGTGTGTGTATGTGCATCTGTATGGGTGTCGGTATGTCTGTGTGCGTGCGTGTGAATGTGTGCATGCATGTGTACGCATGTAATCGCTTTTGTTGCCAGGATTCTTGCCGTGATTGACCTGCTCAAAAGCAGCGTAACTGTCACACCAGAAGCGCCGCTAGTGCAGGTCTCAACTCCTAACCTTGTGTTCGGGGCACACTGTCCCGGCAACGACTCTTCCGGCTATCTGATAGAAGCCTCAGTGAGCAATGAAACCATCGCCACACAGGTTTCACTTGTGGATAACAACGTTGAAGGCCGAAACAATCGCTTCTTCTTGCCAAAAGAGGCCACCGACCGGATAGCGAAAAGCTCCACCTGCCCTCGACCGGTGGTTGAGTTTCTCGTCCAGCGGGATGATGCGCTATACGTGACGCATCCTGACGCCTCTGACGCTGTGCCAGGCAGTTATATCGGCTCCATTTTGCTGTCAGTTTCGGTGCGTGGCATTGACTCTGGCATGGTGTTTCATGAGGATAAGGCTGCCATGCAGTTTCAGCTCAGTGACGACATGGTGAGTATTGTCTTGTTGCACAATTGAAGGAGGTTCCTGATCTGTTCGGAAGTTCTAGAGAGTTGAAAATGTGGGAATCTGAAGAAAATATTGAATGCCACCACAAGGACTCGAACCAGGGACCCTTGCTTCTGTCCAGCGATGCTCTACAACTAAGCCATAGTAAAGCATCTAGGCCTGTCCTGGTTTAGACCAGGCCAATAAAATTCATCATCGTTACATTGCTAATTTAAACATGTCTTCTTCAATTTTGTGGAGACTTGCAGAGTACTAGTACTGTAATGCTCCTGTATCCCTGTGTTGTATGTGTGTTCCAGCGGGAGCAAGATGAACATGCATTGAAGTGCGTTTTCTGGGATACTGATAGAAGTAAGTGTACTGGATTTGCTGGTTGAGTTTGAGCTGCTCTATGCGGATATGTTCATGAAATCCTTTCCGTTTGAATAGAGATATCGTACAGCACCAGCAGCAGCATTTAGGGTCCATACCGTTTGGGGCGCTGAGTCGAATGGTGTTGGTCCTACGTGTCTCCGACAAGGCGTTCCTGAGTTATTTCAGTTTGGAAGCTGAGTTTCGGGGGGGGGCTGCGCCATGACGTCATGTGGCCGCGCCACACCTTCTGCAATGTCATAGCGTGCCGCTTGGTCAAAAGGGGTCTGTGAAAGCAATAGTGTCAATGCTATTTCAAATGATTTGGCCGATAGTAGGTCTTGCAAGCGACCCCGAAGACGTAACTCCATGTGAGTGAGGAAGCAGCCATGGCTGATCTTCATGAGTTCAGTCTGGGTTGAGAATTTCGGTATTCTGTTGAAGAAATGGCTATGTGGGCCAGTCAAGAGTGCGCACTGCTGCGTTTGCGACTGATATAGAAGCAGCAGCTATTGCAAACGAGGCTGATATAATTATCAGACCTCTGGAGAGCAGAGTCGGCGAAATAGAGAAAAGTGATGCGAGTGCTCTCAATATTGTTCGATACCGACTCGCTTGGAGTTGTACATACAACTGATATGAATACTAGCAGTCCAAGAGATCTACATGACAAGACCGCGTGTAATAATATAGTAATATATCAGTGTCTTGTATCACACGACTCACGGAGCATGACAGTACTCTGCGGGAGTACGATCGAGTACCGGTTTCTCCAGTAGTTTTGTACATGACTACTGTTCCGTGTGATGAATTTCTTGACTAGCCTAGCACAGGTGCAGAGGCCAGAGGACGTGAAAAGTCCAACTCAGAAATGGCTAAAAGACGGGATAACCTCATAATGTGCCTAGGAGAAAACCTCAGGGAACATAGTGTTTGTAGCTCTGAGTCGAATGGTCTTGGTCAGAAGAAGCTGCGACCAGCGGTTCCGCAATCGAACCCATTCCGAACAATGGCCATTTTGTACACGAATAGATTGTGTGGCTACCTGGCTGCACGCTGTGACGTCATCACCTGGATTAGGGTGACTGCGCGCTAAAATTCTCTCTGGTTCGATTGGGCATATCTGATGAACCATGGACCGCAATCTCCTCAAACGAAGACCATTCAACTCAGCACCCCTCCCCCCCCCCCAAACTCTACGGACCCTGAATTATTTTTTATTTTTCACTTGACATATATAAGAGCAGCAGCAACAGAAGAATCAGCATTTAACTGTTACTGCAGCAGCAACAGCAGCATTTAACTGTTACTGCAGCAATAGCAGCAGCAGCAGCAACAGCAGCATTTAACTGTTACTGCAGTAATAGCAGCAGCAGCAACAGAAGCAATAGCAGCATTTAACTGTTACTGCAGCAATAGCAGCAGCAGCCCGAAGCAATAGCAGCATTTAACTGTTACTGCAGCAATAGCAGCAGCAGCAGCAGCAATAGCAGAAGCAGCAGCAGCAGTAGTAGCAGTTTCAAGTGTGCCAATAGGTACATGGAAGAGTACAATTGGCTGCTCATTCTCCCATACCGCATCGCTCATTCTCCCATACCGCATAGCTCAGTCTCCCATACCGCATTGCAGCATACAAGCAGCAGCTGTGCCTTGCCACGTGATTACACAAATGTGGTTGCAATGCATACCAGGGTTGGGGGGGGGGTGTAGGAGAGGAGAAAAAATGACATGGTAGGGCCCTGTTGTAGCATTCCGCTTTAGCCCCCCCCCCCCCTCCCCCCCCCCAAACATGCGTGGGTGCAGACAAACTCACAATCATAAGCACACACGCACATATGTGGGCAGGTGCACACACGAAGGCATGTGCGCGCACACACACACACACACACACACACACACACACACATCGTTCCAGCTGCGTTGAAGACAGGGGAAGTCAATGCAGCGTGGTAACATGCCATTTTGTATTCTGTATTGCGCTGCTCTGCACCTGCTCTGCCCCTGCTCTGCACCTGTTCTGCCAGGCTCCTGGTCTGGAGACGGCTGTTCCATGGTAAACTCTACGCAAGGTCTGGTTGACTGCAGGTGCACACACCTCACAAGCTTTGCTGTGTTGATTGTAAGTACATGATTATGTAGTATATTGGATGTATGCACTACAGCAAACACTACTTACATGTACCTATGAAGTGTTCATACATGAACACACGGTGACTAAAGGCACCTGGTCGCTTGAATCAGGTTTTCGTGTACAGCAGAACCCTGTGTAGCACAAGTGGTTGCCTTATCCTGCGATTGTCTCATGTTTTCCTTGCATGCAGGTACCGGAAGGAAAGGTACACGTTAGCCATGCTCACTCCATCACCACCATAGTCTGCTGCTCATTATCCTTACTGGCGCTAGCTGTAGTCAGCCTCTCCATCCTATGTAGCAAGTAAGTACAGTACTGACAACTGAAATCCGACCCCTGAGCGGTGCGCTCATATCGCAAACACCCAACACAGGATTGTAACACCGCGACATAGAGACCGCTAGAATGTGAACGCACCGCTCAGGGGGTCGGATTTCAGTTGCCAGCACTGTAGCACTGTAGTCTTGTCAGTATTTACTAACTACAGGGTGTTGAAAATGAAATCCAACCACATGATTTCAGGAGAGTTGCTTTCAGTACACACCCCTGTTGTTCGCAGTGCTCAGTTGCGCAGGCAACGCAGCCATATACACCCGTATGGTTGGATTTCACTTGATACCACCGTGCCTGCTATCAGTACGTGCAGCTGTGGCAACTGAAATCCAGTCTCTGATTTGATTGTGCCCGAGTGCAGCACTGATTCGAGCCGTCGCTATTTGATTAGGTCATATGCGCGTGCTGGATTTTGCAATACGATCACACTGAGCTTTGCACTAGGAACACACTGAGCTTTGGTCGGATTGCAGTTGCCACCACTGTACTTCACGAAGCAGTTGTTAGTGAGGCTAGTAGTTGTCAATAAGTAGTTGTCAATAAGTAGTTGCCAGCAAGTAGTTGCCAGTAAGTAGTTGTTTATAGGTAGCATAGCTGTACTACTGTAGTCTTGTGCAACCGCCGGTTTTTGAATATCACATAGCCTGACTGGCACCTGGAACCTGTGGTGCATATAATAATAAAAAAGCCTGGCTGTGGTTGGAGGGTCATACATTGATATGCCAGGTTTGAATACTTCAAGTACAAGCCATTTCCTCACATCTGCCTCTCCCGCGGCTTTTGTTTGGTAGTTCTTCTCCATTTCACGCACTACTAATGTTTCAGCCAAGTCCGTATTACAGACACGGTCTCATTTTTTTTTTTGGTTTGGCTGAGGATGCCGACAAACACGGGAAGTGTATCCATCACTGATAGACATTTTATTGTGTGTCTGTGTTTATCTTCTTACAGGAAACAGCGTTCAATGAATCATCAGAGACTTGTACTGATCCAGTGCGTTCTCCTCGGCGGGTTCTTGATCATCTTTCTGACGCTGATGAACAGAGCTGGTGGCGAGTTCTGTGCTGCCATTTCCATGCTTCTCCACTTTCTCCTGCTCGGCCAGTTTGTGAGCACGGTGGCGCATGCAGTGTTTCTTATGCAGCGACTTATCCACGTCTTTCAGCATGACTGCCTGGAAGTGATTAAGAAGCTCTCTGTTGTTGCCATATTCGGTAAGCTGCTTGGAATAAAAGTCTTGCTGGTGACTGATTTAAAAAGTCTCTCCTTTTAAGGGTGCAGCATTCAAACATTCGTGGAAATGACCCACTTGAACTAAAGCTGCCTTGTCCTTTTCTGCCGTATTCCTGCCAAACCAGTTCATGCCAAACCGGCCTTCCGAATGTGCACAAGTTGATCTGCCACACATGGCTTTTCCCGTTGGCCACTGAAACTCCACTTGCAAACATTTCTACTTGACCAAACTGTATTAGGCTGAACAATCAGACCTCGCTCATCCGGAAGAAAATCGGCGGTTACCGATTTACAGCATATGTCATGCATACATACAGTATGTGTGTTCGATTATCCCACTCCCTAGCCTATCAGGATATTGTTGAGGGAAACGGATGTGTGCGGTTATGCGAGGTCAGACTATACTATGCTTTGCCCTTTGTGCACAGTTGTACCGATTGTGGTGGTGTCGGTGTGTGCCGGTGCGACCAAGATGGATGGCTACGGACGACGAGGCAGTGAAGACGCTCAGTGGTAAGTGCACGTGTTAATGCACACTGTGAGGAACAATTCCACTTTGCTATGCTCCTCGTCTAGAGACGGAGAGAGAGCTTGATACAGTCAACTTCGCTAATAACGACTGCGGATATAACGACAATTTGCGAGCAGCGACAGAATTTCCATGCCCAGAGCAAGGTCTCATCTAACTGTAATACATATAATGAGACTTCGGGTATAAGGACACTTCACGAATAAGGACACTTTTCTGATGCCCCGCCGAATGTCGTTATACGCAAAGTTGACTTTACCACTACTACACTGGCCTCATAGTCTGTCCAATTAGCTAACTCTAAAAATGACCTTTTGCCGTCAAGCATCTGTTGTGAGCACGGCATTCCAGCTCAGAATCTGCAAGGAATGTCTGCGGGGTTTCCAGTACCCATGATGGCGGGCAATGGAATCAAACTATTCATTTTCTTTTCATTTTCAAAGCCTTGAAACACAAAAATGCTGCAGAAGGGCACACCAAGAACGATCAATTTTCACCCGCATTTTCGTTGTGTGAACTGAAAAACTCAAAAATCTAGATATGAATGAGCTAGGACTTTCCCCAAGGGTGGGGGTCCGAGTAGAGGGCGCGACATCAGGTCAGCAGCTCCCCCCCCCCCCCCCCCACCTCCTTGCTTGTGCCTTGTGGTGGGCAGAACAGGGACCGTGTTCGTATTGCCGGAACTCTGGCATGCCGGGCTCAAATGTCCTAAAAAAATAGTTCTAGAGTGCTGTGTGTGACCACGATCAGGGGCGTCTGCAGGGATTTGACGATTGTGAGGGGGGGGGGGGTTCACACACACCTGTTCAGCACAATGCACCGCACAGGACAAGACCATTTCACTGAGAACATCACTGGGATTCACTGTGGATTATCATGATTTTGGAAGAACCCGCTCACAGGTGTGTGAAAACCAGTGTTGAGAAACCGAACAGGAGATTTTTATGAAACGATGTACGGGACGTGGATAAAACACCCATTTCCGCAGCAAAATGGAGTAGAATATTGAGTTGCCAGTGCCAGGCTCAGAATAATATCGATGATTTTGCAGCAACGTTTTGAGGCAAGATATCGAGGCGAGCGGAGCAGAATCTGTCTGTGCCTAGCCCATGGCAGTTTTTCTTCTTTTTTCTCCTTTTTTTACGCGAGGGCATTACGCGTGCCCTGCACCCCCCCCCCCCCCATCTGCGCATGCCCCTGACAATGGGAACAAGGAAATGACGGACATTGTGTAAGACGCACACATACTGATTGTTCTGCTGTATCTGACCCACTGCTATGTGCAGGTGCTGGTTATCAAATGATGTCCTCTATTACGGAGTGTACCCGATCATTGGCACCGCTCTTCTCTTCAACGGTGTCGTTCTCGCCGTTGTCTCTGTGCGCCTTGCCAAAGCCCATCAGCAGCAGCGACGGAAGGGCCCACACTTGTTTCTACTGCGTAGTGCCATTGTCATGAGCACCCTGCTTGGTCTGGTATGGCTTGTCGGATTAGCTCTTGTGGCTGCAGAGTACGACCCCATTGTGCAGTACATATTCAACCTGCTCGTCAGCTCCCAAGGCGTGTTCATGTTCATCTTTCTGGCAATGGCCAACAAGGAAATGCGCCATGCATGGAAACAACGTGTAGCAGCTGCGAGTCGAGCCATGCGCTGTCCTCGCGTTCTCCCTCGCCGAAGGGCGCAGCTTTCCGGAACCATTCAGCCATACACCGGTGAACTTGTACACGAGGACTCTGAAATGAATCTTCGGAGAAGTATTGACACTGCCTGGACTACGGCCACACATAAAGACAGCAACGCTTCCGGGTCAAATCTAAGCGAGCCAGTTCGCCTGAAATTTGAACTTGTTGTTGAGGACATGTGACAGTGGTTCTGCCATCTACTTGATTTCGCACATCCGCCTTGCATTCTGTCCTGTTGCTCTTCGACATAATTTTCTTGATTTCCTGCTTTTTCTTCTTTATCCACCCGAGTGGTTTTACTAAGTACTTAGAAGTCAATATTGTCATGTCGATGGAACAAGTTCTTGACCACTGAAGCTTCGACTCAAGCAATAAAACGCGGATGAGATCAACTTCCTGTGATTCTTTCCATTGAAGAATTGGATTGGATTGGATTGGTTTATTTAACGTCGAATAACAAACAGGCAGTGTTGCCTTATTACATGAGATCGACTAAAGACAAACAGGCACACAAATGTAAGGAAAAGATTAAAAAGAAAAAAAGAAAATAGAAAAAAAGAGTAGGATTTAAGACAGCAGCTAGCTAGCAGAGGAAAGATTGCATAATTATTTGATCAGTGAGCAACGTAAGTCGGTGAATTTTTCAGGTGGGGTAAGAGAGCGGTCCGGAATTGACCTGGTTTCTTCAGTGATCGTATAGATGCAGGCAACTTATTCCAGAGAGCGGGACATTGATATGAAGGGCTGCGTGTGGCAGCGGCAGATATGATCCTCGGGAAAAGAAGCAGGGGAACATCTGTGCTCCTCGTTCGACGGGTGTGTGACAGAGGTGTGACAAGGTCATGAAGAAGCACACTACAGTCATTATGAATTACACGAAATGTTAGCAGGAGGAGTTTGCGGCAATACATTGATTGCAGGGGTTGAATGCTGAGGCGTTCAAAAAGAGGGGCAGTTGGAGACAGGAACGGAGCAGAGCAGACAACACGCACAGCTCGCTTGAGAAGTTTCTCAAGACGATCACGTTGTGCAGAGGAAAGGGAAGAGGAAAAGCTGTTGCATGCGTATTGGAATGTGGGTAAAATTATACATCTCAAGTAGGTTGAGCGGCATGGCATTGGGAGGCACTGCCTGTGGCGGAAGAGAATGGCAATCTTTGAGGACACTGTCTTGGCTATGTGGTCAACCATTGTGTTCCATTTCAGGTCGTCATCGATGTGCAAGCCCAGGTACTTGGCGCTTGTCACTTGCTGGAGGAGTGTAGCTGCACAGTGCACATTCAATGTCTTGTCGTCATGACGATTGGCAGGAATAAACAATATTTGTGTTTTTCGACTATTCAGGATTAGGTTGAGAGTAATTACAATCCTAAAACCCTGCTTTCTGTATCACCTCTTATCGTGTAACTTTATTTACTGCACTTTCCCGTCGACCCATTCGCCTCACGGCTGGCGACGTCTAGGCATGTGCCGCACCGCATTGATTTCTAACGCACATGCTCCTGCGTACGTACATCTCCGTTTGTATTATGACTGCTCCGCTTTTGAAAAAAATCTCTTAGCTGGTGGAGCTTCTCACCAGAATTGCATAGCCGGTGAAAACAGGAATGTGTGGCCTGCACTTTACTTTATACCTATGCGCTGGTGAGCGTGCAAGCAGCTGCTCTGTGCGAGGTACATGCTAGCGCTCAGTCTGTAAGTATTTTATAACATGCTATCGAGAAACAAGTATTTTATTCCAACAACATGTTTCGACAAATACCTAGTGTTTTATTATAACCGATAAGCTGTGCTGTTTTTACAACTGTCTTTATAGCCACACTGTGTGACTGGTTGCGTGCAACTACTGCACCACGTGACATGAAGACAGTGTTGTGACGTGGGTGCATGTATGTACATGTACTTCGAAGAAATAAGACTACCCATTCATAGTACATAGAGAACTGGGGTCAGGGGCATGGGGGCTAGCTTACTATCCTTAGCAGGGCCGTAGCGCAGTGTGCAATTTGAACTGAGAACAATAGGATATTGTGCACTGGAAAGATCATGCAGGCGGCATGAGTTTGGTTCCTACAGAAGAGAGTGGTGTGGTACGTACTGAACACCTGGAAAGCTTTAAACTAGTTCTGTATTCCCTCCAAACATTGCTTTGACGGCATAAAACATAACACCACGCTAGAGAGCAGGCTCAATCACATGGTAACCAAAGAGTATAGCCACGTACAAGTATTATGGGATGCATGCATGAACATTTGCTGCTTGGATCACTCCAAGAATTGCCAAAGGGTGCAGAGCTTGAATGTTGGCTACTTGACGAGGCTATAGTCATGATAGTGGGGCCACGTACACGTAGTTCTTTCTGCAGTTCACATGACTGTAGTACTGTACACAGCATACAGGTCAGCAGTAGTGTACATACAGGTCAGCAGTAGTGTACATACAGGTCAGCAGTAGTGTACATACAGGTCAGCAGTAGTGTACATACAGGTCAGCAGTAGTGTACATACAGGTCAGCAGTAGTGTACATACAGGTCAGCAGTAGTGTACATACAGGTCAGCAGTAGTGTACATACAGGTCAGCAGTAGTGTACATACAGGTCTGCAGTAGTGTACATACAGGTCAGCAGTAGTGTACATACAGGTCAGCAGTAGTGTACATACAGGTCAGCAGTAGTGTACATACAGGTCAGCAGTAGTGTACATACAGGTCAGCAGTAGTGTACATACAGGTCAGCAGTAGTGTACATACAGGTCAGCAGTAGTGTACATACAGGTCAGCAGTAGTGTACATACAGGTCTGCAGTAGTGTACATACAGGTCAGCAGTAGTGTACATACAGGTCAGCAGTAGTGTACATACAGGTCAGCAGTAGTGTACATACAGGTCTGCAGTAGTGTACATACAGGTCAGCAGTAGTGTACATACAGGTCAGCAGTAGTGTACATACAGGTCTGCAGTAGTGTACATACAGGTCAGCAGTAGTGTACATACAGGTCAGCAGTAGTGTACATACAGGTCAGCAGTAGTGTACATACAGGTCAGCAGTAGTGTACATACAGGTCAGCAGTAGTGTACATACAGGTCTGCAGTAGTGTACATACAGGTCAGCAGTAGTGTACATACTAGGATTGCAGTGTGCATACCAGCAGCATACTGCGCGCGTTCGATTACGCACTGGAATCAATTCATGAATGGAACCTCGTCTTTCGATTTCATGTCATGAGCCCTGGAGCAGGTGCGGTACTCAATAACTCTCTGTCTACTAGCTTTCCTGAGTCGGACAGCATGTGGATGGTACAGAGCTTTCAGCTGAGGAGGATCTGGTTGAGCTTGATCCTGACGGCCATGCTAGATGAACTTACTTAGCAGTGGAAGTCCATGTACTGTGTAGCTGTGTAGCTGTAACATTGCTGCTTGGACCGGCAGTCACCATGTGACAAAACCTTTACAGTGAACGTAGCCGAGTAGCAGAAACAGTAGCATCGGTTGTCATGGCAGTAGCAGCAGTCGTCATGGCAGTAACAGCTAGCAGCAGCTGCAGCCGTGGTAGTCGTCGTCATTACTGCACACTGTGGGAGTCGCAGCCGTCACAGTAGCAACCGTTGCAGTAGCAGACTGGAATTAGCAGTCGTCACAGTAGCAGCAGTGGAATTAGCAGCCGTCGCAGCAGTGGTAGTCGAAACAAACTGATGCTGATGCAACTTATCACAGGCAGATTTCTGACATGATTGCCATCAGCGGGGATCACTGCCACCAAGAGTACATGAAAACCAGAGTGGTCAGCTTGGGGTCTTTTCTGCTATGGGTGTCTGTCACGGCGAAATTCCGTGATAACATCATATTTGGCCCAGATCTGAGGCGGGAAATGGCGTAGTGCGTACAACTGAGCTGCAGTTGTGCAGAAAGAGACCTGCCTGAATCCTGCTTGTAAGCACTACATCACTAAAATGATGTAATCACGGAATTTGTGACAGCAACCCATCCGAGCTGCACACTCTGGTTTTCATGTACTCTTGCTGCCACTGATCTGCATGCAGTGGATTGGCAACTTGGCAGGTCACTGAGGAGTGAGGTGGCTGATCCTTGCAGTACACTCACAGTGTCAGCTGACCATTGCCATGACGAGCACTTTTAAAAGCTTGTGTACGAGTCAAGGAAACAGCTGCAGCCTGCACTCCAACCAGTCCATGACTTTTTGAACGCCCTCCAACACATCATCACTTGCCGACTCGCTCAGGCACTTGTACATGGTACGCAGAGACTGGGTCTTCAGCGAGGACAGGGCGAAGTAGCGTGCCGTGCACAGACGGAACGGCACTTCTCTCTGCTCGTTCGACAGCAACGCATGCAGACACGTGGGTCCGTTGTGGAGCTTGCCATTCACAAAGGGAATCTGCGAGAGCGACTTCAGCCAGGGAATCGGCTGGGCCTCCAGGAGACGCTCCAGTGCAGGATCATCTTGTCGACCGCCCGTCGCCGCAAATCTTACGATTGCCGGCAGTAGGGCTGGGAATAGCATGCATGGCGGACGATACGTTCTGTCCACTCGTCGCAGCTTCATCTGACGTCTGTGCTCGAGTGCCTGCGATTCCGCTATGCACACCGTGCAGACAAACTCTGGCACGGCGACAAAGTAGTGGCACTGGTGCAGCAGCTCTTCGTCTTGCGGTTCGCGGGTGGCGTTGACAACACTCAGCGTCTCGCTCTTGAACAAGCAGTCTCCCCAGACAACCGTTCTCAGATGACGGCGCACCAAGCGCATCATCAATGCCAGCCGTTCTTCATCCCAACCTGTCAGTGAGACCCTCTGGGCTATGAACATGTTCAGACACTGCAGGACACCATCACTAAACATCTCCTTTTCGACATACAGCAGCCGCATCAAGCAGTACTGCAGTATCACCTTTCTCCATACGTAGTCCTCTTGCCCGAACGCCTCCAACTGCAGGAACTCCTTGAAAATCCCGTGATGGCCGCACGCCAGACGGAACATCTGGTCGTAGCAGCGCAGGGCGCGCTCCCAACGCACGTCGTGGCGTGATAGACACACGTTGCGACTGTCGCCGTTGGTTGCAAGCACCGATATCATGGCCTGCTCCAGCGGTATGGGTACGTTGAACTGCTGCTGTCGCCTTAGCAGGCTCATGAACCTGGTGCCGTCCTTATTCATGCTGGCCAGTTGCCATGGTGATACCGTGTACGCGTCCGGACGTCCGCCGTCTGGTGGAAATCTGTCCAGGAAGTATGTGACATCGACTATATCCGTAGTCGCC